AGGTACTGACCAGGCTCACACCTGCTGAGCTTCAGTGGGTTGCCATCTGTGAGTTGTTAGGTGATGATAAGCTGCTGCTGGTAAATCGTGGGTATGGATATTGTGGCAAAATCCAAGCTCGTCTCAAAAGTCAGTTGGTCGTTCCTATGTCATTTTGTTTCCTGTCAAACAAACGGGGAATATCCCAATACTAAGAGCGTTCTTTGTTCAGATGTCACTAGGGGGCTTCAGATGCACCTGTCCTTTGGAAATTGGTGGAAGTCAGACCTGTGTGTGACCGTCGCGGTTCCGCCCCCTCGCTGCTCCACCCCGCCGGTTCGTCCCGCAACACCTGGGGCGCGAACGCGGTTCTCCCTTAGCCCAGCCGGCTGAGGTCCCTGCTACGCGCAGGGAGGGCGATGACGTCACCGCGCCCGAACGCGCTCCGCTACATGTGATCAATTACAACTTCCTCTGTGCTTCACATTTACATTTACAGCGAAACTCTTCATATGATATTAATATATTTATTATATTAAGTGGAACTGGCTTCATCAGGAGTTAACCAAACAAACAGGACACTATTCATGTCTACTAGGATGGTATAAAGAAGTGAATATTTTAGTTCCCGTTTTTATTACCTTGGCCAGATAACACGTAAAAGGCTTTAGCTTTCTTTAGCACTGTAAGAATGACTGCGTTGTGACTGCCTAAAAAGTTTAGGTTCTCTTTAAAATAAGATCACTTTATTGGCAGTATACTATTTCTTGTATTAGAATTGGTCTTTTCACAAACCCCAGCTTGCTCTCCATGAGACACACAGACAGGGAGAGAAGCTTGGGGTCAGAGCGCAGGGTCAGCCATTTATACAGCACCCATGGAGCAGGTTAAGGGCCTTGCTCAGGGGCCCAATGGAGTAGGATTCCTCTGCTGGCCGCAGGATACAAACCGGCAATCTTCCAGCCACAGGAGCAGATCCGTTACCACAGAGCCACCGCGCCGCCCAAGTGCTCTTGAAGTCATCCATCCATTTTATAAACACTTTATCCAGTACAGGGGGGTTGTGGGGGAGCCAGAGTCTTTCCTGCCAAGCAACAGGCACAAGGCACGATACGCTCTGGATGGGACGTCTGTCCACTTCAGGCCACACACAGACACAGAAACTAATACAGACAGGCACACACACACACCAGGGCCAATTTCCCCAGAAGCCAGTTAACCTACCAGTATGCCTTTTGCTGGGGGGAAACCAGAGCACCTGGAGAGACCCCACACAAACATGAGCATGGGCACTAATCCAGTTTGAAAATGTAGCCAGGAGTGTCTGGGAGTTGGATGGCAGAATTGGATTAGACACTTTTACCCAGGTCAGAAGACAAAAAGCAATTAGACGTGCGTGTTGTCTCCACCTAGTGATTCACGAGGCACATCACAAATTGCAAAAAATACCAACTGACCTCCACAACAACAACAATAATAAAAAAAGAAATAGATGCCTTAATTCAAGAATCTACAAAGGCATTCACAGATATCTGAACTAGAATGGAAGGGGTGGAGGATCCAGACCTTCAAAGAAGCTACAGTACATAAGAGTTAAATGAGGATTCAAGCGAACAAAATAAAACTTGTGTATCAGTTACAATGTGGTCTTCAGTAATGAAATCAGGAATGTCCGTGTAAAGAAAAGAAAAGTGGTTACAAACCTCGGACGGCCGTTTCTCTATGCTGAGAGAAGAATCTGGGTTGGCCTCGTGAATATCTCACAATACTAAAACTCAAGATTTTGAGTATTCTAAATGAATGTAGTTTGTCATCTGATTTCTCCCTCTATGGAGGAAGTGACTGCGCTACGTCTGTGATCTGGGCCTGAAAGAAATGAAAATACCCCAGTCTTCCAGCCTGCTTATCTATGCTTAGGGATGTGGCAATGAACCCAGTGGTACTCAGGACAAAATCAAATCGGACATAAATATACAGAGAACATACAGTACAATACAGTACATACAGATACAACCTCAAAAACAAAACATTTTGATTTACAAGCATGCCCTTGTGTATTTCTTGTTCCGTTGGTTTTCTGGGTTCTTTATTGTTGATCATCTTCAATATATCAGTCCCCGCTTCTGCAGTGAATCAAGGTTCTAATGTACAGTAGGTCATGCTGCTTGCAGTGACAGATGGCGACCTGATTGCACAGTGCTACATTGATCAAGTCCTGGGACCTTGTTTACTGCCGTTCCTGTGAACACATCCAGATCTGACAATATTCCAACAGGATAATACAAGTCTTCCTCCGGCTTGTGTAACAGCAGCTTTCCTTTGAGATGAGAATGTGACGGTTAAGCTGTGGATGTCCTGCTCCCCAGACCTGAGCAAAGCTGAACATTTGTGGGATAAGCTGAGACCAGTGGACAGTTTGTCCAGGCTCTGCCAAAGCAGTGAGACAGAGGTAGACAAGACGGTATCTGCGTAGCACACACTTCCATAACACAGCTTTTTAAACGTTTAAACGTTCAGTTTATGTTCATCTTTCAACCTCATTTTAGTTTAGCCAGTGGGTAGTGGAGCGATGCTGCGTTTCACCAGAACGCGCGAGTTTCATTTTATCAAAGATACTTTAACTGTAGGCGCCGTCTTGTGGTGAGGTGTAACAGTTTACATCTTGTCAATCCTTGTATATTTACAGAAACTTGCATAAAAGAGTTGCACCAGAAGGGGGACACACTTTTTTTCCTGTCGAAGCAATATTTGCAACCTGGTACAAAACATGCGTCACAGATGTAGACTTCGTATGATTTCCCGCGGTGACCGCACACCTCTATTAATGTAACTGCTGACTACTGTACTGCGTGTAGATAACCGACAAATATTAATCAGTATAATTAATTTACCTATGCTTTGTCTGTTTTGTAAAATGTCAGTGCTCTCGCTAAAACGTTCGGTCGTTTTCCGGATAATAGCTTTGTAATTCGTTGCAGTTGTGATACGTTTCTTTTGGTGGTCAGTATATTTGTCTAAAACTCCAGGAGATGATTAAAATGTACAGTAGGTAACAAAGCACACCGTCAGTAAAAGAAAATGACTTGGATGACATTCAATTAAATGGCTTTATTTTCATGTTATTAAAAGAGGTGTGTCTTAAACACTCTAAAAGCGCTGTCAAGATTTAAATATCCCTTATTCTCGTCGCCTAAATGACTCCACTGAACACAATGTCGAACAATGCTAAGTGCTTCTATCCTGACGCACCACATACAGTAGGCGTGGTTTCTGGGTGTATGGTTAAGTTTCATAGTTATCATTCTTTCAATCACATGGGTTCAGAAGACGGAAACTCATGGAGTACAAATGAAAAGTGAATTCATAATGTTACCGAAACCCAGTCGCTCTCTTATATTATTAAAGTAAAGAAAGTAGTTTTGTGTGTGTGTGTTTTGGTGAATTCCCTATATCGTTAACCCGGCGCACATGGCTTCCAGTACCAACTTGCAGGTAAGAATAAAACACTGTTTTGAACAGTCCTATAGGATGATTTGCTACCATTGTTACTAAAACTATCCAATAATCGCGATAACGTCCCGTTGTGTATTTCACTATGTAAGCTGTACTATTTCAGATTCAGCTACTTCGGAACGTAGAAAGAATTCGGAGAAGATGTTAAATGTGGGTTAATTTCTACGTAGGTACCCATGTAGTTTTATGACGAGCAGAAACGTCCGCTCTGATGCGATTGCCGGTGTCGAAGTGAGAAAGGGTATACTCTGTCTGAGTACATGTAGTGTTCTACCCCCTATTGGCATTGAGTCAGAACTGTGATTTGTGGTCACTGAGCTGTGAGAAACAAGTCAAATTGTGGGTTGTCGTGCTGTGTGCGGTCTTTACCATCATCAAGAACACTGTTATCACGAAATAATAATTCGTGTTTAATTATTTAATCTTAGGTTAAAGACTAAGTAGGCCCATTTGTTAAATGAAGTGAACAAATATACTCTTACAACAGTTTAACATACAGTAAGCATTATTTTCTAAGAATGCACACGTTTGACAGTAACAAATCAGAAAACAGAATGGCTCACAAAGTGATCAAAGTAGTTAGTTTAGTCAAATACCAATACAATAGATAACATACAATATACAATAAATACAAACAAGAGGCCATTTTGTCTGTTTGATTACTTGTTCCAAATTGATCTGGGGATATCATCCTCAAGGATCCCAGGAAAAAGGCTTTAATAATATTACTAATTAGCTTCTTTACCACACAATGGTTAACATGCTACACTGTTTACCAAGGAGAGGTACTGCAAAGACAGAAAGAAAACATATCTCCTATTTGGATTTGAACCAGGGGAAGATTGAGTTCCCAACTTGAACATTAACATGGTATCACAAGGAAGAACAAAGAGTCATTCAGTACATGACTCTGTGTGCGTGTTTTATAACTTGATTCAAAATCTAAAAGTTGATTCATGCCATCTGGTGCCATTTGAAATTCTAGCTTTTTTTGCTAGAACCTGATGCTGGAGTGTGATGTTATTAAGCTAAAATACCTAAGACCATGGTATTCGTCATCATCATCATCATCATCATAATAATAATAATAGAATATAGCCTATACTGTTTTAACAAAGAAAACCTGACATGTTGTGTAAAAGCAAAACATTTTAATATGTACTGTATATGCCCAAGCATAACTGCTAAGTCTCATGAAGGGTGATAATAATTGCGGCAGTAATGCCAAATCTGCCTATGTATGTGTATTTCATTACAGAGAGCTATAAGCATTGCTAACAAGGCCTCTCAAGAAGACAGCGCGGAGAATTATGAAGAAGCCATCCGTCTGTACCAGCATGCTGTACAGTACTTCTTACATATAGTGAAGCGTAAGTTTTTGATGGAGTTCGATTTATTTTTGGGGTTGGATTTCAAAATACACCCAGCTTTGTTAGGAAGGTGAAGGCATATTTTGCGTGTTATTGCTTGAATTTAATTTAATTTGACTTAATTCTCTGTGGAAAGTGCATTTAACAGCATGATAGATTCACAGAGATACATCACGAGTGTTCAAGGGATGTTCTTCAAATGTCTGAACCAGAATTGGCCTAATACAAAGGCCCAGCAGACCTACAATCTATTAAAATTCACTATAAAATACCCGAATGAATCTGTAAAATCGGACTCTATTGTAACGCAACGGGGGCTCAGGCGGGCGCCCTTGCCGCATCTGGTCGGCCCCATCCCGACTGGAGGCTCGAACCCGGGACTTCCGCGTCTCTCTGCAGCGACCTAGCCCCGTGAGCTAAAGAGAGATCTCTCTACAGCCCAGTAGCTGTAGTCCTGCTATCACAGGGAAGGGCGGTGACGTCACCTGCTCTGGTACGCCGGCTCTTACACAGTGCTTGTCGGCCGTAAGCGTTACACTATAAAATCTCTGAATTAATGCCTGTGACATCCAGGTCCGTTCCTACACAGAACAACCTTTGACTGTGATACTAATGATGTGCTGAAGAACCTAAACATTTTTGCCGGGAGTCTTTTAGATACATCAGTTCTTGGCTGCTCGAGAGTGTTATTGTTGCTTTGCTGTGTTCTTCCTGATGAATAATTTGGACCCTTATTCTCTTCCTTTCTGTGCAGGTGAACCCCAGGGCAAAGAAGGCAACCAGAAAATCAGAGACAAATGTGCAGAATACCTGGACAGAGTTGAACATCTAAAGGAATACTTAGAGAAAAAAGAGGTTTCTAAAAATACTTTTATATCAGAATATCAGTTACATAAGTCTTGAAAGGTGTAATTTCGACCTCTGTTCAGATTTTAATTTTAAATTTTGGAGTCGATATTCTGTGTCTGTTAATGGTAATCAGGACAGCATTGGGTGACACATCTGAAATTTCCTAAAACCTGCTTGGGTCAAAAAATAAGGTCAAACTGGAACAAATAATTTTCCATTATTATTGGATATCATATTGTTGGAAGTACTTCAGTACTTGTAAATGAAGTACAAGGCCAAAGCCGCACTGAAGTGGCCTGACAAGAAGAGAGCACATTTCCTTGAGAAGCCTAGCTGGGAGTCTTTGAATCCAGTAGAATCCACTAATATTCAATGTGAGACTTGATGATTGCTCATCAACTATCCTTAACCAACGTGTCAGAACTGGAGTAATATTCTCAGGAAGAAAAGATAAAATGACTCCATCCCAATGTGCACATCTGGGTGCCTCTACCCCTGACTTAGCACCTGCCCACTACAGAAGGACAGGTGGAGTAGGTGGGAGGAAATGGTTTTGAGCTCAGGTCACTGAGCATTCAAGTGGTATTCTACCACATGTGTAATAAATTGAGCCTAATTTGGTTATGTTAGCCAAGGAGGTGTGCTTTTTATTTTTTCAGCAAAATGCTCTTAGAATCTAAGAAATGAATCCTCTGTGCAGCAGTGTGAGGCAGTAAGTACTGCCGTCTCACCCCAGCCTCGTAGGGGAAGCAGGCCAGGGTGACAAGCTAGAGTCTCATGAGATGAATCTGCTGTACCTCTCAACACAGGGGAGCAGAGATGTGGCACAGACCAAGAAGTCGAGACTGCTCTTGGCTCGTGATCTTACCCATCATCAAAACAAATCAAATCATTTCATTTAAAAAAGAATCACAGTCATCTCGGCTTTAGGGAGCTTGAGTTAAGTTTAATAAAATAATAAGCTATTTCAGTGGTAAGTATTTAAATTACGAGGAATATTTACTTCAGCTTTGAGGAATATACAAGATTCTGGGAAGCCTTTTTTTAAATTTAATTTGGAGCCGTTAATTCCATTCTAATTTCTGAAATGTTAATACCGTGTTTCAGTTTTATTTCTGAAAGTGGTCAATAACTGAAAACATTAAACCAGGAGGAAAATACGTAAAATTGAGTGCTTGGACCAAATGTCCAAACAGTTTCATAATATTTATGTTCTAATTGTAATTTGATTCTTGACCACGAAAATCATGTAATTGATATTGATATTAGTCCCACCAATTAAGAGAAAATTATATGGGACTGTTAAAGTTCTTAACCCTAGAAAACGTGTGTCAAATTCAATGATCTGGACTCAGTTCACTGTAAAAAAAAAACATATAGTAGGTATGGAGACCGTGCAGTTTGGCAAAATTTGCCCTTTACACTTTTACACAACCTTTTTTCATACTAATGTAGTCAACAAATTGACATTATGGAAGAGATGAACTCAAGATATGATTGAATTTCGGTGTCAAGTGGGATGGAAGCAGTCAGTGGACAGGTTTAGGGTTTTATTTTCACTGTTTATAACTGCAAGACAATCCCCAGCAAATTCACAATTTCAGTTTTTAGATCGCATGACTTCAATGTGTTGTGTCTAGCAATAAAATGAGAACAAACAAGAAGTGATTGCCCATTACTGAGACACGTATGAGAAAAGTCCAAGCTCTTATTTTAATAAATAATGTTCTGAAAGCTTGGTTGGGAAACGGGGTGCAATCTGGTCTTAAAAATAAAAAAAAGTTCTAAGATTGTAAACACAGGTTACCATTCTAGTTTTTATTGCTGGGTTTTTATGCCAACCCCTAATTTTTTAAAGCAATAAAGAATTCTGTACAAATACACACCAGAAAACGTCAGGTAACTAGAAATCCTTGAATATCGATTGTGTGCCAATAATAAGAGATAAAAATGAAAGAAGTCAGGCAACAAAGTCCAAAACCATAAATTGTGTAATTGTGAAAGAGAACTAATGAAAAGAGAAAGGTTGAGTTACTTTAGACCATAAAATGGTTAGGCGAAAACATTAAAGCGTTTTGTCTAGCCTTCTGGGTGTTTAATCGACTTTAGTGGAGTAGTCTAAAGAATAATGTCCACTTGTGACTTGTGAAAATGATCATTCCTAAGTGGTATTTGGAAATGTATAATAAATTCTAAAGCTCAGTGAAATTCATTCTCATAATAGCACATCATATTGTTATAGAATGACAAGCTGTCAAAATCGGTATGATTGTGACTAAGAAATCTCATTCCAGAAGGTGACAGCAAAGATACGTGAAAAGATTATCTCTATATCACTGTTACAGAATTAACATGTATGGTTTAAATTAGTAAATTTGGCAATGGGATTATTCCTTACTGTCATATGCTCATTATTTCCGATTAATTCTGAAAAAAAAAGAAAAAACAATGTTCAAAGTGATTGTTGTTGAAACTTTTGGAGTTGAGAGTTTTGGTGGTCAAACAGGACCCCCAAGCAAGAAATTAAGGGCACTAAACGTACTTAAAATGTAATTTGGAATAATCTGGGTATTCAGGAACACTCGCACATCACTCGAGACAGTTCATTTGGATTGGATTGTAACAATGACAACAATCCATCGCGTCAACTTCCTTGTCGGTGACGACAGACTGCTTTCGATTATTGCTATTTTCCCGAAAAGAACTGCAAAATAACTTCACAAAATTCGCACACCTGCAGCATTACAAAGAATAATTCTAAGTACCATAAAACGGAGACGTTTTTGTTGCCAGTTATTTGAAAAAACGCACTTTGGGTGTGTACGCAGGGTGTGCATAAGCACTGACGTCAGTGTCAGTTCTTTCGATCACATGGCCTCAGTAGGCGGAAGTGACATTCGACATCTTGATGCGGAAGAGCTATTTTTTCCCCTGTGAGGCTTGTTAACTATCTAAAGAAGGGGGGAAAAGGCAAAAAAAAGGACCCAGCCTGTTTTGAAATCTAATTTAATTTTGGTTTACGATATAAAAAAAGACAAGCCGTGTGGGTTTTGTGTTTGGATCTGTGGGTTTTTTTTTTCTAATCCAGCCCCCATGGCTGCCACCAACAATTTACAGGTAAAAGCAAAGGCGACGATAATGTTAAATATGTACATGGGTTGAGAGTTTTTGGAGACCAGTAATTTGCCTTGTGTTTCGGTTGAGGCTGGTTGTTGTTTTAATTTCACGCGTGACCCTTAAATGTGCTGATTATATCTTCACTAGTAACTTCTAACGCGTCTGTCCTGAATCTTGTGTGGAAGCGTTGTTGTTGTCGTCGATTTACGCTCGAAACGGTGGTTTCGAATTACTGTACTTGAAAACCTGCTTGTGTTGAAAAGTTTCACGGGACAGAAAATTCAAGACAAGTTCTCCAGGACTGAAAAGAAATGTGTAAACAAAGTCTTCCTTGTAAACACCGTGTTTAGTCGCTTACGAAAGGCCTGAATTTGGGGATCAACACATGAACGTAAGTTAATGAAAAGCAGAAGGGTTTACAGTCGTTATTTTCCCCCTATTTGTATGTTTTCTATTTTAAATCCACCCTTACTTGAGCAAGATTCGAACTGTAGTGGTTCGCAGATTCACGGTCTCTAAATCAGTTGTCGGTCAAAAGGAAACTCCCTTTCTCAAAAATAAACTTCTGGATGAGGGTTGTGGGGCAGGTTAAAAGGACCCATTTCTTTGGTTGGGAATTAATATACTGTCTTGGAGAGTGAACGAGAGTGCATAATGTCTCAAATGCAAGAGTGCTTCGCGTCCTTCGTAAAACACATTTTTAGATAACCGCAATCCTTGCATGTTATTTGTAAAAATATTAGAAAACCTTCATTTGCAACTGAAGCTTGATCATAGTCTGTGGGTATGAGCCCTGTGGAGACCGTTCAATATCGGCAGCTGTACCAATGACGCATTTAACCAGTCGTTGTAGAGTTGCAATATTAAAACATTTTAGTTATTTGCAGATAGGCCTTAGACATTGTTTTCTGAAATGTGGACAGGTACGTATAAAACGGTACAGTTGTAGGCTTTTGAAAAGATTGGTGGTGTATCAAATTCTGCCTACCAAACAGTTGTCCATTAAGTAAAGAACATAAATATTCAATCGTGCCTGATAAGGACCGTGGAGAGAAAATGATGGTTATCTGCACAGTGCGCATTTCCAGCCTAGTGGTGCGACGATGACAGTTCCGTAATGCAAAGTGCTCCTGTTCACTTTGAGGAAAAGTATCATTTTAGGATTTTTGTTTTGGTTTGTTTTCATGGTACTCCTGCTTTTTATGTATTTTGTTATCTGAAACAGAATTGGCAAATCTGGAACAAGGTGTCAACAGAGGTATTATCCAGTATTTGACTCTTGAGCTAATCGTTAGTTTAGCAGCGCAAATTGCTACGTTTCTGTTTACATTAATTAGCTGTTACTTAAATCAAATTAAATATCAACATATATTGAAATATATCACGATCGTTTGCGTTGTATCCTGGAAGAGTACCTGTGTGTATGTAGCAAGTGCAATGTAACGTCTTGCTACACTTTTGCTTCTATAGAACATATACTGTACTTATTAATAGGTAAGCCATTGAAATTGAATTTTGAAATATCAGTTTATCTAAAATAGTTCATTTTATCCATCTGACCTATTCTGCTGTCTGTAATGGTTGTGATGCCTGCAGGGGTTTTTAATTCGAACCTTTTACTCGCAGTTTCATCAACCTTTTAAAGACTAAACAATACTCTGCGTGTTTTAGTGGGTAAATAACTGACTGAAGCTTTTGTAGTTAAGCAGGCCTGGGTGCCAGATGCTTCACAGGGATTTTTCTCTACATACACTCCCTCGAGGATGACTGGAAGAATTGCATTACATAACTGGGACATAAAAAACAGGGGGAATTAAATTGCGGGACAGCACAGAATGATATCCAACACTGAATGGTAAAATATTTCTGTCATAGGGAGCAGTTTGAATATTTGCAGCTGAATATTTAAGCGTGGAGAGTTTTGTGTGAACAGGCCTGGTTTAAAATTCTTTTATGTGTGCCATTGTTCACACAGACACACCTGGTTTATTAAAGAGTGCCATCACACTCCTTTTTAACTCCTTTCCATTTCATAACCTCAGGTTTGCTTGTTCTCAGGTGAACACTGCTGTTTCGTATGCTATTTTAAGTATGTGTTCGGCCCCAAGTTGTGTATTGCCCATTACTGTTTTCAGAATACTTCTTTTTCTCATTGCTGTTGGTTTTTCATTACAGAAAGCTATAGACCTCGCAAGCAAGGCGGCTCAAGAAGACAAAGCACAAAATTACGAGGAGGCACTCCGTCTGTACCAGCATGCAGTACAGTACTTCCTACATGTAGTGAAATGTAAGCCTTTCTGTAGCTGTTTTGTGTTTAGGTATTACGGTTTGTTTGTCCATTAACAGAAGTCCATGATAAGGTGGGTCTTGAGTGCGTGGAGTGTTTTTAATACTCATCTGTTTTTCCTGTGTTCTGTTGCTGTTGCCAGCATTGTTAGTGTTATTCATTTGAAGAACAGTGTTTACCACCATTATGCGCCAATTTCTGCCCCTGTAATCTTTCATTTTAAATTAATGTATTGCAAGTATGAAGTATACATTTTGTATTTATTCTTTAGGCCTGTAATAAACCTTTACGTTTTAACAATGCGTCATGTAATCGAACAAATCTCATAGTTCAGTTGGTCCTGTCTAGATTATCGGTGTGCTTAGAATCATGTGGGTACTGGATATTGTCATGCAAGCAATGTAGTTTTGATTAGAAGATACGGCAGTATGTTTCACTACTTACCTCCCTCTGGTTGGATCCTTATTAGATTTTGACACCAGGCTGTCTTTTATTATCATTAAATTCAGGATATACCATACACTAAAAGCAGGCTTAACTGATGCTTGGATTAAAAAAAAATATCATTGTTGTTCCTACCAAATCTGAGATTGCAGAAACGCGTCTGCACAGATAACACCCATCTCCAAATACAGACAGGCTGAAGGATTGTCTTGTTTTCTGCTATCTCTGATAGGATCATAGTGAGGATGGACTGCATTCATTTTGCTTGAAGAGTCCATGTACAGCCTTTCCTGGTGTGTCAGAATAGAAATTGGTCACTGGAAGAACTGTCCATGCTTTCACCCTTCATCCTTGAAACGCTGGTGTGCTAGGACTTTAAGACCCTTGAAGAATAATTCCAGTTGTCTTTTTTTTTCCCCATCGCAGATGAGGCTCAGGGAGACAAAGCAAAGCAGAGCATCAGAGCGAAATGTGCTGAATACCTGGACAGAGCCGAAAAGCTAAAGGAATATTTGAAGAAGAAGGAGAAGGCTCCAGCAAAGCCCGTTAAAGAGTCCCAATCTGATGACAAAGGGTAAAGTAAAAGTTAATTCAAAAAGATGAACTTTGAGTCAGCCATCATCTACAAAGGCTATCACAAACCAGAGCTGAAAAAATGATCTCATGCCTTTTCCTCATTTACACAACATATTAAGGTCCTACTAAGTAAGATAATTTCTCACTCTTAACAGTGAATTTGTTGCTTCAAAATGATCACTTGAGGTACTGCATGTCTTGATATTGAAGAGGAGCTCTCTTTTAACAGAAGAGGGCACCACCAGCTCTGTTCCTTTTTTGCAAGAAGTGGGTCCCATTTAGCAAAAAATGTCTCTTCTCAGACCTACTCCAATGAAAACTGTTCTTAAGACCAAAATTGTATCAAATGATGATACACTGAAGAAGCCTTTATCCCCAGACCAGCATTGTTGCTTCCTTACGAAGTCTTCAGTGAGGATCTTTATTGCTGATCTTGGAGTGACCAGTAACTCGGCATTTTTTACAAATTGGCTACCCCCTCTGCCTTCAGTATGATTGTTATCAGGTTTTTTTTAAAAAAACAAACTAATCCTACAGTATATAGGATTTTTTTTTGTGGGAAGGGAGATTTATATGTAACACTAGAAAAGTAATCCTGTATGGAATATCAGTGTTCTTTCTGCTGCTCCTCCTGTGTATTTGGAAGAAGAATTGAGCCTAATGGAAAGACTGGGCTGTGGAGGAGACTACTACAGTCCTTTTTTCCCCTTTTGACCCTGATTGAAGGGGGTTGTTGCATTTTCTCCTTCTTAAAAAGTATGATATGACGGAGTTAAGTTGGAACTCCAGGTTCACGTAGCACTTGCCTCATTTAACTACATACCAGAACTCATTTGTAGATATGCTTTCCTTAAGTTTGTTTCAATGTTTTTCTTAGTTGAATGTTTAAAAAAAAAACGTTATTTTAACCGTAGATTAAAGGGTGGGCAAGAAAATGATGGGGGGGGTTTGTATAAAATAATTTACCACCAAGATTGTCACTAAGTCCAATGTGCCTGTTTGATTCAGCCCTTTACTCTTTAAGTTTAGACTGTGTTTTTATTTTCAGGAATGAAAGTGACGAGGGAGATGATCCAGAAAAAAAGAAATTCCAAAATCAACTCCAAGGTGTGTAGGCATAGAACAGCTTCTGGTGATCTTTAACTTGCAGGCCTCAGTACTGTACTTCAAAGCCCTGCTTTGTACTAATTGAACTTACAGTAGTTTTGTGTGTCTGTTTTGGCTCACTTCAGAAGTGTTAAATTGACAATTGCCCTTTTATTGCTCGACACGTCTTTATTCATGTGTGCATGTGTTTGTGTCACAGGGGCCATTGTTATGGAAAAGCCAAATATCAAATGGAGTGATGTCGCTGGTCTCGAGGGCGCAAAGGAGGCACTGAAAGAGGCTGTAATTCTGCCCATTAAATTCCCACACCTCTTCACAGGTAACTTAAGTCCCCTAAGTACTAAAATGTGGAATTGCAATGCTATTTGAGAAATGCAAATATTTGCAAGGAGAAAAGCACAAACTGAGAAGCCAAGTGTTGTGGTTCTATTACCTTTGGTAAAAATGCATTTCATTTAAAGCAAATGATAATCTGGCCTGTGATTTGTAATTGAAATTTGTAAGTGTTTTTCATAATCTTTAGGAAAAGATAAATTGAAGCTCTGCAGATTAAAATCACATGGGAAGTATTTAACAGAAATAATGAATTTGTGAAAGTGTCTGTGGCTACGGTAGCTATTTGACAGGGTATTTCATTTTTAAGTGCTAAACTCCAACTTGCTGTTGTGTGCTAAGAAATGATTAATCGGGTAGCTGTTGTGTCAAGATGTATCTTCACAATCTGCAGAAGCGAGATCTAGAAAAACAACAACAAGAGCGGTTTGCTGGATTAGCATTCTGTAAATGTTATTCATAACATAAGGGAACTACATAATGGCTTGTGCATCATTAGGTATTTTAACTTGTTTTGATTTTATTTGACTGAAGTGTCTTTTTACGTCTGTTGATACATGTATGTTTGTTTGGAGTACAGATTGAGTCATGTAGGGGTACATACAGTAAATTCAAGTCATTAGCTCATTGTGACCAGAATTCCCCAGGTATCCACCCACAATGAACAGACAATAAGGCAGAGGTGTTCTTTAATTAGCAGTGTGGTCATTAAGACCTGTTTCACTGCTTCATTTGATGCTAACTCACCAGTAAGCCAACATGGAGCTTTTGACACCTCTGACCGGAGGGCATGTCAACATTACTAGAAACTCCTACTTCCAATGAGCTTCACCTAGAATGTCCTGAGGAATTGTGCAGAGGTTTAATGACATTTGTGTGGCAAAAAGTGCCATAATTTGTGCCAGTAACTTAAAATTGTTGGAGATTTGATTGAATAAGATGAAGGAGAATGGTCCTGTGCTGGTTTCTCTCCAACCCCAGTGTCTGCCTTCCTTATTCAGGTAAAAGAACCCCATGGAGAGGAATTCTGCTCTTTGGGCCTCCTGGTACAGGAAAGTCCTACTTGGCCAAAGCTGTGGCAACTGAAGCCAACAACTCTACCTTCTTCTCCATCTCCTCTTCAGACTTGGTGTCCAAGTGGCTTGGTGAAAGTGAAAAGTATGTGCTTTTTGAAGATTTGTATTTAGCAGGTGCTATTGTTTTAAGACAACTGTTGGATAGTTACTGCATTATCCTACAGCACTTACAGTATATTTCATCTTGGACCTGGGAGTTGGTGTTTCTTGTGTGTTTTCTTTCCATCCTGCACAATTACTAAATTTTACTTGAATTGATTGTTGACTTGAGTGCAGCAGCAGAAACGGTGCTAATACAGACCAAAGTGCCATGGCTAAAGGCAAACATAAATGGTTAAAAAAAAGTGTAGTTGTTACTGTGGAAAAGGCAAATGCTTCCTTTGGAGAGGTGGATCATTAAAGCAGTGGCTTTCGATGTTTTGTTTCTGCAACGTCGTGAAAGAACCCACTTCAAAATGGGATTCTCAATTTAAACATTAAATGAGCAACAATAATACTGGTCCTGGTAAAACAGCTACTGTTTGTGTTATTGGAGATAATCCACAATGTATTTGTACACTGCTGTACTGAAAGCCTGCCTGAAAGTCACTGCTTCAGACTGTGGAATGGACTGTAGTTCAACGTGACTTGCGGATTGAACGTAGATTGGCTCGCTCTTGATCCCTAATCCTTCGTCCGGGTTTAAAAACACAACCTGACTCCGATGCCTCTCCCAGGCTGGTGAAGAACCTGTTCCAGCTGGCGCGAGAGCACAAGCCCTCCATCATCTTCATCGACGAGATCGACTCCTTATGTGGCTCGAGGAGCGAAAACGAAAGCGAGGCAGCGAGGCGCATTAAAACGGAGTTCCTGGTTCAGATGCAGGGTGAGAATCTGTAAAGAATGAACTCGGGGTGAGGCTGTGCAGGTTTAATTTAGATTGCAAGTGCTTTGACTGTTTGTATGACCAAATTAGCCTTTTGGCAAATGTTAAATTATGTTAATTAAAACAAAGTTTAGTGAGATGATCCATCCTAAAGTACTATTCAATCAAGTGAGATGTGGTTATTATGACTTCTGTTGTAATCGGAGAGCACTGGACTTTGTATGCTAGGTATACAGGTAATAACAGGTTGATTTAATTGTTTTTGTTTGTCTCCCCTGTTGCAGTTCTTGACTTCTAATTGATGTTCAGAAGTGTTTGTACTACATATCTCATTTGAAGTTTCTCTCCAACTAGGTGTTGGAAATGATAATGAAGGAATCTTGGTGCTGGGAGCTACAAACATTCCCTGGACACTGGACTCTGCCATCAGGAGACGGTAATTTTGAAATTAGCCGAAAACAGACTGTTTCGAATTTCGAAATGTTTTAAACGCTGAATAGTGAAGCCTATAAAATGCTGTATGTTGTAAGTTGTACTGTAATGAGTTGATCTGTGGCATCCAGTAGAGAGCATCACATACACAATTCTCAAGCCAGGTAAAATATTACTTCTGCGCTTGTATACAAGATGTTTATGCCATGTAAAATAATATTGTTGCTGTGCAGAGGTATTGTATTGTTCTACCATTTTTCCTTCTTTACGCAGAAATAGTTTTGTAGCGATCAATTACTGGCATATTAGCAATTTTGGTTTTAGATAACAGCTAATCCTGATAGATCTGTTGATATCCTTAGAGGAACGAGTTATACTCTTTACTACTTAGGACCAAGTACAGATGCTGTCTGTGATTTGGCCAAACTTTCCATGATTTCACAGAGGCCTGCTTAAATATTAATAACAAATAGAAGTGCAGACAAAAAGGCTACACAAAGTGAAAAAGTAAGCCAAAAAGAGCAAACAAAAAACAATAAAGCACATGAATGTGTAGTGATTGTACTTCAGACTGAAATAACTAAGGCTATGATGCGATTTCCATGTTTGTTGATTCTGTTTCCTTAAGATGCTTCTCCATGCCTACAGAATAAGGGTAACAGCTCTCTAATGTAAAATGGACAGTACTGTATGAAAACATCTAGTTGGTCAGTTTCTCTTCAGTAGTGTTAGTTCTTACATTCCACTTGCAGAATGCATAAAGGAAAAGAGTGAATTTAGTGATTCCAGCAAGTAACTAAATTGTAAGACTTAGGTGTTGACCATGGACTTAATAAAAGTGTTGGTTCTAAGCAGCAGATAGAACCTGTGCTGTACAGTGACTTCGTTAAACTTGCTATTGTTTACCTGTGGGGAAAAAATGCCACAGAATGTATTCTGCCCTAATTTAAATTTGTTCCATTTTGGTTTATTTTTGTTGGATGGAATTCTAAATCAATGTCAATAAGGTCGAATAGTTGCTGCTAGTCTGAGGGTTCTGAAGATGAAAGCTATTAGAACATAATGGTTGCAAATTGCAGGAGGTCATTCGGCTTGTCCTGCTCAGTTCGTTTTTAGAATCTCATTGAGATGAGCTTCTCATCCAACCATTTCTTGAAGGAGCCCTGAGTTTGGGCCTCAGCTTCATCGTTGGGAAGCCTTTTCCACATACCCAGAACCATGTGTTTGTATATAAGCGTTTTGTGTTTTCCATCCACAGATCCTCCCTTTTAGTTTCCAGTTGCAAGCCTATGTCCTTGTTTCAATATTGGCTGTGAAGCAGTCCTCTCAGGATTGACTTTCTGTTCTTTTTAGGGTTTTTTTTCTACATTGAAAAGGATACCCAGAAATCGATAATACAAGATTATATTAGAACAATTACAGTTGTAGCTTATCAGACAAGCTTCTCTAAAGAAATATTTTTGACTCTTTTACTTAGTTGACTGTCAAATTCAACTTAATAGGATGTCTCTTGACTCGCATTGCCCAGGTTGTTTGACAGACGTCTTCAGGCACATTGGCTAAGTGGGAAAGTTGACTTCAGGGCTGTCTGTGCTCTGTTCGGCCTCCTAGACACACAGCAGCTGTCTGGGCTCTGCTAGACACGCAGCAGACTTTGGTTTTTAGAGCAGTGTGTGAAGCACCTTTCGTGACCACTAAAACTTCACAAAATGCAAGAGGCCTACAAATGTGTGCTCTTCCCACACATTTTCGAACTCTTCGGCATTTTCAGTCTTCAGAAGCCGGATGTTAAAATCCTGGGGAATAAATAAAAAAAACAACAACTTTTGTCTGTCTCCAGGTTTGAGAAACGCATCTACATTCCCCTCCCAGAGGAGCACGCCCGATCCTTCATGTTCAAGCTGCACCTGGGCTCTACACCCACTAGCCTCAGTGATTCCGACTTCATGACTCTGGGCAAGAAAACTGAGGGCTACTCAGGGGCTGACATCAGCGTTATTGTGAGGGACGCCCTGATGCAGCCAGTCAGGAAGGTGCAGTCAGCCACCCATTTTAAGAAGGTATGCAAATGTTTCTTAATTGTGTTCATTTTCATGTCTGGTTTGAGGATTCACATTTATACCCGATTTGTGAAAGAGTGTACATGCAACACAAAATGGGCACATACATACGAATAATGATTTGTCTGACCTAGCTGTTCATTAATGAGGAATAGTGAGAAATACAAGAGGTAGTGGCTGAGGATGTGACCAAAAGCTCAGATTTCTCTGCTTTTTGTAAAATAGAGCTGATGGTGCTCAGTAGCGTCTGCATGCAATACACCCTAGCATACTACAGTTATGACTCTGTGCTCTTCCTCCTGCTCACACATTTGGTGTGTGCTCACAGGTTCGAGGGCCATCAAGGGAGGACTCTAACATTCTGGTAGATGACCTCTTGACCCCATGCTCTCCAGGAGATCCAAATGCTATAGAAATGTCCTGGATGGATGTACCAGGAGATAAACTCCTGGAACCTATCGTTTCTATGGTAGGAAATGTTTTCACTCCAGTAGATAATGACTGTAAATTCTGTAATGAATGAGAAAATATTTTATTTAAAAATGTTCAGCTTAGTTATTAACTTTCAGATGATTCTTTCCACCACCTTATAAATAATCTTAACAATCTAGAATATTCTTTGTACAAAAAATCAACTATCTGCCTCTCGGAACATGACCTGGAAAATGTCCCTCTTCTCTGTAGGTCAGCATTGACGTAAAATAGGAAGTGTAACAGTACAGAGGACAGGAGAGAGTTTGTTTTTAAATGTAACATTCCTAAAATTTGACAAATTTGTATTTCATATTTTTCACAGTCTGACATGACAAGGTCCCTAGCAAACACCAAGCCGACAGTGAATGAGCAGGACTTGGAGAAACTGAAGAAGTTCACAGAAGATTTCGGCCAGGAGGGTTAGAACGGAACTGAAAACGAAACATAACCAAATGGATTTGGAGTTTAAAATCTTTCCAGTCTTTCTTTCCTTTTCCCTCCTCTGGATGCTTCTGTTGTTTTCATTCCAAAATGGTCAGGGTCCCTTTCAGACATGACTGCTTATCCAGTCTCAGGATGATAGAGGGTCTTTAACTGAAAATTGTCTGTACTTCTAGTTGTTTTCTGTTGCCAATAAAGTGAAACATAAGTCATTTTCATATATAAATAAATAAACCTTACATGATTATGACAAAAATGGAGACCATTTAGAATTACTGGGGTTTTAAGAGTCAAACTGACAATACATGCCATCCTCGTGCTTTAGATACCAGTGCTTCTCAAGTCTAATTTATTATTGGCCTCAGACGTATGACCACGAGTACCTGCTGGAAGTCACATTGCTGTTTTCTTCCAGAGAAGTGTTAGTTTAAGGAATCGTGTTGAATGTTGAATCCCAGTGGAAGCTGTTGTGGCCTATCTGAGAAACACTACTGTGCGTGGCTGTGTTGTAATTTTGATTCAGAGCAGTTGCTTAAGGGGGTGGGACAGAGTCACTTGGTGAGGCTGAACTGGGTTTTCATTCGTAGTAAGATGTGGGGCGAGGCAGTGTACTTTTAATTTAAGGTATTTTAATTGTATGTTTGTTTTTTATGTTTTCATCTTCGGTGGTTCACCTGTCAAGCATGTTTTGTAGTTTTCTAAATGAGCTTGTGAGGCATTTTCCATGCAGTAACTGGTGTGCGCCGATGTCTTCTCTTTGAGTAATGGTTAGGAACCTTGGAAGGTTTCTTATCATGGCTCAAAGGCAGACAGTCGGGGAACGAAGCTGTGCATGTGTGAAACTGAGGGCTGAACTAGGACGTGCTCTCACTGTTACCTGTCATGTCGGGCACTTTTAGTGGCGGCATAGAACACGTGCCTTTACTATGGATTACTACATCCTTTGTGTTTTTATTGAACATTACAGACACCCAAAATTAAACTTCATTCTGTGTATTCCAGACTCGGATCACTAGGGAATGATTTATTTGAAATATGGCATTTATTAAAGATTTGCACATTTCATTTTCAACTTTTGAATATGATTGTATGTCTATATGCACTCAGAGGTGTTGGTTTTCTTAAATACTTTCAGCCTTTATACAAAAGTCTATCAGTGTATAAGTTAGTAGTTTTATGCAGTTTATTGCTAGAAATATTAAATTACCATATACCTTTAATGCTCCATTCTAATGTATTCCCTGCAAGGATCTTTCATGACTCAAAACATAAGTTTTGTTTTTTTATATTATTCTTTAATGCATATGTAAATAAAGCCATTACCTATTGAGAACTTACACTAGTTGTCTTGTGTCAATGTGTAGTTAGACATTGTAATTTCATTATGGCTGACTGTTCCAATGAAAGACTTCCTTAGGCTCCCTGAATATAAGAATACAGATACTTGTATTTTAGAGGAATTAGTTTTTTAGACTGCACTTTATACTGACTTGCCATTTAAGTACAGTAGATTAATTGCTCAGTGGCTTACAAGAGCTTCAACATTAAAGGTGAGTCAACATTTTGATTTTTTTTTTGTACAAAGAGGAACACCAAGGTAGTCTGTAAATGCCTTGAATAAGCAGTTCATTTTAAAAAACAGCAACTGTTACACACCTTTGTTAATTTTAAGTAAAATGATTTGTATATCCCTACATTTTCTGGAAGTTATGTGACATTTTTCATGTGTATTTGAATGTATTCTCAGAGCTTTTAGCTTCCTCTTTCTATTATATAAAATATACAAATGTCATGTGAATATATCAAACATCTGATCAAAAGGGGTAATTTAGTTCATAGCCTTTGCATTTTTGCAAATTAAAGGTTTAAGCACGAGAAACGATGAAACACCTGAGTTTTGATTTTTTTTTTAATTCAATAATTTTTAAATCAATTTTTAGCTTAAGAACTACAACTCTTTGGTTTTCACATATGTTGGCTAACCGATATCCTGTGGCATTTAAAAGGGGATATTCAAGCATTTTATAAACTCCTTCACAGTTCTTAAAGCTTTTCCAGTTCTGGTCAACATAACGGTAAGATACGATTTACGCATCTCAAATTCTGCTCGGAGGTATCGATGCTTTCGGTTTGTATTAGTTTGACAATAATGCTCTAAAAATAATCATCAGAATACATTAAGAAGATGAATGTCCCTTTGCCGAGTGAATCAAACACGACATGGAAATTGGGCTGCCAAACGTGTCATTTTGCATAACCGGCCGATGATGTGTTACTAGTGTGGTAACTTGTCACGGCTCTGCAGTTCATGGAGAGATGTCCTTGACCTATTGAGGACCTATTCAGTAATTATTACCAGGACCCGCTCTTTACATGACATGTACTGCAACAAATCTACACTCAAAGTAGGGTGTGATTATTAGGAAGTATCTATTCTAAGCATGTATTCTCACGTGTTTTCTCGAAATTGGATAAAATGAACTGTATCCCTTTTCTACAGTGAACAGGGGTTCTACTGCTGGTCACATCAAATGTCCAATATATTTTACATTAGACTTACAGTTAGTAAGGGTAGCCCTGCACATGTTTCGCTTGAAACAAAAAAACAACAAATAAAAAAGCCAGTTGTATTAATTAATTGCATGTGACCGGATGTTTCATGTTTGGTGCGTACTTCCGTACTTTTGGTGCGTACTTTTTACAAGTCCCCTAAAACCCGAACAGCCAGGTTCAAGACTGGAACATCTGTCACCCCTACTCCTACATTATCAGTTAGATATATATACATACGTATTTGCATAGCAAAGCCACGTCCCAAAAAGTTGTAACCCAAGAAACTGTTGCATGTCGGGAGCTTTAGCCTCGGGCAGATGAATCCGATTCATCAGCCTCGCCGCCAGCCGGCCCATCTCACGATAAACTACATTTCCCGAAGGCCCCTGTCCCGTCGCCATAGCAGCCACATCCGCCGTACGGCGAAGTCAAAGTGCACAGTTCGTGTTGTTTTGGTTCCTGCAACCTTTGTCTGATTGAACGAGAGCTCGCAGGTTGCTGCAGCCGCACCTGTGGAAAGCGTGCCGGGGGTGGGGGGGGAAACAAAACCTGCTTGTAGCTCAGCTTGGTTAAAACCCCTCCCTTTACCGAAGCCGCCTTTTCTCCTCCCCTTCGGTCGCGCAGAGCCGGCCCCTCTGGACTCGTCGCTCCTCCTGCGGGCCCGGTCAGCATGTCCGCATCCTCGGCGTGGGCCTGGCCTGGGCGGCAGCTGCAGGAGGAAGGCTGGAGCTCGGCGATCCCGGACTGGCTGCTCTTCGGCTCTTGGTGGCTACTCGTGCCGGTCATTATGCTGCTGGTGGTGGCCGCGTTCATCGTGGCCTTCGTGCTGCTGCTGTATATGGTGTCTCCGCTGATCAGCCCCAAGCCGCTGAAACTAAACGGGGCGCATGTCGTGGTAAGAAGCGTTTTGGGGGGCGAGAGAGAGAAAAAAAACCCCGAATACGGTTCATTACACTGTCTTGCCTCCTGTACACCTCAGCAGTTCAGCGCCCCGGGGTTCCAGTCATTTCCATGTCGACAGCAGGAGTTGACGCTTCAGGTGACGCGCAGTTTGCTTGCTTTGAAACGGCAGCAACACGCGAGGTTTTTTTTTTTTTAAAAAAAAGTTCTTTCCAAAACAAGGTCACGGTGAAAGTACACGCTGCGGATGAAAATTATTCAGTGCTCTGTCTGTATGTTGCAAATTAAATATCAGTGGTCATGAAAGCCAGAAGGTAAATCCAGTTCTGTCTTTAATCGTATTTGGCCGTGCTCAGTTCATACCCTTGTCTCTTCTGCCTATGCGCAAGATGAGACCCCGCAGGCTTATGTTTGAATACTAACAGCAAATTATAAATAACGAATTATTTGTTGATACCCAACCACAATTTGTTCCTTAAATCAACGTGTATTGGCTTAACACGTCCCAGTTAAGAAGAGTATAGTACCGTGTATCTGAAACCGAGTACACTTTGTTAAAACGGTGGTGTCGAGTTAGCAAAACTGGCAAGATTATGAAGCAATTATGGTTTGCTCCTTCAAGCGAGAAGATCTTTGTCACAGACTTCAGACAGTGTCTTTGAAAACTAAAAAAGGACCCAACAACAGTCAGTTGGTTACACCTTTTCAGTTTTTGTGAATAAAACCAGAAATGCAGTAGTTCTCACCTATTAAGCTGAAGCACACATTTGAAGTTTTTTTCTTTCCTTATAGTGTCAAACACGTTACTTTGTTATTTAATTACTACATCACAGACCCCCACTTGCCAGTCAAATCGATATACAGTAGTCAATTCTAAATATAAGAGTTTTTTTTTTCTGGTGCCAGAACATCAGAGCCTAGGTGTATATCTTTTGAGTCCTCAGTACTAATAGAAATTCATCTTTTTTTGTCTGTCAGTTTTGGGCCTACACAGTTATTGATTATGATTAATAGCAATTGTTTTGTCCCAGTTTGCTGCTTGTACTGCAATAAGACACTGTAAATTCTACAGACTGTAGTTTAAGCTTCTTTTACAGTACTTTTCTTACGTTTTTTTTCATATATGTATAACCATGGCTGAAAGCCATTTGGCAAGGGTCTCATAGCTAGAAAGCAATGCAGATGCATTTCTGTAAGCGAACTTTGAACTGAGGTATTGAGCAAACATTTTACATTATTGTACAGTTGAACTTTTCTACAGTAACTAAAAATTTAAATCTGCTCAGACACCTTTTTCCTACTCAGTTCAATACAAGTTGACGTTTGGGCGTTCAGAAAATAGAAAACTAACTGAAAGCCGGTGAAATAAATTGAATTCTTAGGATGGGGGACATGGTTTGTGGTAGACAGTGCTACAGATTGTGTCATGACCATGACTTTGCTTAAAGTCAAATAACTACCAGCTGGGCAAAAGCTACCATTTCATAAATAAGAGTAATAGTTTTAATCGTTTTACTAAGTACATACAGTACCTACACACCTTACAAATCATGGTGTTCTGCATCCTGTTTTTATGTCATGACTCCACAAAGCTGTGCTCAAAAAGGGAGTGCTATTATTCAGAATTCAGTTTACATGATACAGATTTATTTACATCTATTGTAGTAGTTGGTCCTGTGGTGTTAGGTTATTCTTATTTATGTGACCATAAATGTATATGGAATAACATATGTCTATGATTTTGTGAATTTTTATGTATTCAGATTTCTGTTGACCTGAGATGCCTTTCAGACTATGATACCTTTTTTTTTTAATGAATAGGTTACAGGAGGCTCCAGTGGCATTGGCAAATGTATTGCGATTGAGTGTTACAAACAAGGAGCCTTTATTACTTTGGTGGCACGAGACGAGGTAAGTGCAATTCGGACTCTTGTATTACTGTTTCACAAGTGTACTCTGTAGTAAAGGGACATAAAAACAACTTGTTTTTTTTAGTTTTCACTTTTTTGTTGACGCACAAGAAATTTGACGCACAAGAAAGTTTAGGGATATTGCCGGTGTTTATTGTGAGGTCTCTGGTTTCTGTTGTATAAAAAAGAATGTCAATTGTCAATGGAATGTTGTGCCAAGTATTATTTTTCTTTCATCACATCTAAGTCTTAGTCTTTTTCTAAGTACCTTAAGTAAGCTGTATGCCAAAATGTGAAGTGGTTCACCTCCAGACATCTCTTTTTTTTCCAAAGACTTTTTTTTGTCATTCAGTCTTTATATTTAGATCTGTAAAAAAACATGAATGAAATTGAGTGGATAACACAAGGAAAGTTAGTCCAGTTGGAGATGAATAGCGGAGATCTTACAAGACCTGAGACTTGGATTCGTTTTGTTTGTGGTGCTGAAATGTGATCAGTCATTCAGAGGTCTGGTTTCAGTGGGTTGTTGGATCTTAGCTGAGGAGATGTGGGGAGAGCAGGGGCCGTCTAACTATAGGAGGAGCAATGAAGGTGATTTCAAAGAAAGCCTTATTTTCCTGAGCTCGAAGGTGAAGTCACAACATGTTTCCTTCCTTTCAGCTTCCCTGGCCCAATTTACAGTCCGCCTGAAAAAGTGTATTTATCTTGGACTAGCAAAGGCTTGTAACTATCCTCCAATAATTGACTTCAGCACAAGCCTCTTAGTTTCTGAGAAAAATAGCTATAATATGAAAATTATGCACTTTGGGTTTTTTTTTCCTCTGTTGCTGAACTGCCCAATGTTTTCTTATTGTTTTCTTAGAATAAACTGGTCCAGGCTAAGAAGGAGATTGAAAAATATGCCATTAATGACAAACAGGTATGAAATAACGAAAGATATTCAAGCATTTCTATTTGTTTTTCTGGTTTTGTGATTGTCAGGAGCAAGCAGTATGATATTGTTCCTTTTTTGGGAGCTTAATGTAGTGTCCAGAAAATCTGTGAATGGTAATCGCCAAATCATATGTGCTGTTGATCCAAGCGTGAGTTCAGCTTGTCAAGGCTTACTGCCTCCCACAGGTAATGTATTCTGTTTTGGGAAAAATAAATGGTTTGTAAGTGAGCTAAAAAAAGTACTACTTAAATTATCATAAGGACATTCCACAGAATGTTGCTGATAAAAATGGATTTCCACTTTTTTATGATCTATAATTTGAAATAACATTTGTCTCCACCCAGCGCATTTAGGAGAGTGTTTTTTCTTCTCATACAGGTAGTGCTCTGCATATCTGTTGATGTTTCTAGGGACTATGGACAAGTGGAGAGCGTCATTAAGCAAGTAAGTTTGGTTGTCTGTGCTCTGATTTGGAGTGGGCTGAAGGAAACTAGTTTGGCTATGGATTTAGATTTCATTGTAGGTATTGTACTTGTTTTTCTTGGGCAATATTAAAACCCTAAAACTGATTTATGTGGTGAAATAAAATTAAAAAAAACCTAGAGCATGTTCATAATGGAAGAAATTTCTTTTTAGAGCTTTGTGAGATGACAACTTTAGTTCTGTTAATGTTATTGCAGCTAATTTATATGAAGTCTGTATGTAAATGAGTCTTGAAATGCAGTGCAATCATTTTTAATAATATTCCACTGAAAATGTTCAGCTTAAATAAAAAGCTTCTAGTTCTGACAACGCTGCTGCGCAAAGCTCAGTTACTGACCATCAAGCCATCCTCCAGGCTCAGGAGAAGCTGGGGCCTGTGGACATGCTGGTCAACTGTGCAGGGATCTCAGTGGCAGCCAAGTTTGAAGAGGTTGAAGTGGACCGCTTCAAAGTAAGTCTGTGAGGCAGAAAAATGACCGGATGCTTTGTAGTTTTCTTTCTCTGGTATGTTCCAGTTATACTAACTCCAAACTAAGTGCCTGTTAACTTCGTAGAAATATGTTTACGTGATGAATATATGCACTTCTGTTCTGTTTTCCTTGTTAGGGTTAGACCTTGCTAGGCTGGCTTCTCTAATACGTTCCGAACAAATTATTTTGCGGAGAAAGAGGTTTTAAAAATATCCCTGAGTGTTTTCCGATAGTTTATAACTGCCCACAATACATTTGCTCAATACCTTTCTGCAGTAGGTTGTATTACATTTGACTGAGTTGTGAGTGCATGCTTTTAATTGCTTTAAAGTGTTATATAAAGCACCGTACAGTAAAACCGAAAGTTACAGAGAAGTTACTTTACTTGACGTGACAAACTGTGGATCTCTGCCGAGGGGTGATTACCAGTTATACCAGTTTTAGCTCTTGCTCCTGCTATACTGATAAAATAGATGGATGGCAGTTCCTTAATATGTTTAGTTGCAAACACAAATTATGCTCCCCTTTCTCCCAACAGTGGAGTGTGTTAAAGTGCAATAAACATTGATACTGTATTCAAACTATTCAAATTCAAGCTATATTTGACTATACCTATTTGGAATGTTGCATGCTAATGGACTAGAAATCATAAAACTTTAGAGTAAATATCATTGTCAAATTCACTTGAATGAGTTTATGGCACAGGATAAATCAAGAAATAACGCTGTTGGGGATGATGTTGATACTAAGGCCTGCAGCCATGGGATCATTTCTTGTGTACCTTTTCGCAACTTATTTTTGGTCCAGAGTTCTTTGTATGACTTCAGAATTTGAAGTTATTTTTTTTACTAGTAGTGTAGTATAAATAACAAAATTGTCACCATGTATACACCACCCATACCAGCCAGACTCTCCTTATTGTCTCCTTATGTGTCTCCCTACCTACACTTTCCTGTATATAATTCCTATGCCTTATCCTTGTGTATGTACGCCCCCTCTGTGTCGGACCTCATATCCAGTGTTGCAGTCTGACATTGATGAACCAGCAGGTGGCATACTTTCCATGATATAAAATTCCAGATCATCGCTCCAGCTAGTGGAGTTGTTTTTTTACAGTCCTTTGCGGTTTTCTTCTCATGACATGTAAAAATTGACTGTCTTAGATATTGAGAACAAGGCATTCCTGCTAAAAAGGCAGAAATGTTGATAGTGTTACCAGCACAAGAGGGTGTCCCACTATGTCCCACCCATGCACACACACCTAGTCTCTGGTATTAATTTCCTATGGTTTGGCTTGTTGACTGATCTGCAGAATCTCGTGATTCTCAAATATGATAAAAGGTCAGAAGGAGGTTCCATGCAACATAAAGGACTATATATACAGTGCATACATTCATTCTCTTAAGTTTTCCTTATTTTTATTAAGTGTATATTTTCATCAATTTGTATTCTACTAAAATGTTTTTTCTAATATTAAATGATCAATTAGTATGAAGTTTTAAGAGGCCTTGTTTTGCGTCGCAGGTCTCTTTCCTCCTTTCTTTCTAAAGTTTCCTTTCTGAGCAGTATAAGAAATGTTGGAAAAACCACAGAAAGGTGATATTTATTTAAAAAACTGTTTTATGTTCCGTCACTGTGGCTGGGGTTGAACACTGACCTGGTTTCATTCCTTCTGACAGAGGCTGATGGAGGTGAACTACCTGGGCAGTGTGTATCCCACCAGGGCTGTCATGAACACCATGAAGGAGCGCAGGGTGGGGCGCATCGTGTTTGTGTCTTCACAGGCGGGGCAGGTTGGCCTGTTCGGGTACACTGCTTACTCTCCTTCCAAGTTTGCTCTGCGGGGGCTGGCAGAGGCCCTGCAGATGGAGGTAGGACATAGGCAATGTTCATTTGGTGTCGTTAGTTACCAGTCTCTGCATTGTGGCCTTCTGATTTATACGTCTTTCTTCTGTCTGTCCTCATGCCTGGAATTACAGCTGAACATAAGATTAAAGCTCTCTGAAACTGCCATCTTTTCACCTTTTTATATTAGGCCCTTAATGGTACATAATATCAACAAATAATCTTTGGTAGTAAATCCATGCTAACAGTGCTAAAAATGAGGTTTAGAATCATTATACGTGAAAGGATGTAAGCCTGAATGTGCCATTAACTGCTCATTTTTCCTGTGAGTTTTTGCTGTGTTTCTTTCCTATTAGACAGGGAAAGGTCACATAGGAAGCTGCTGGAATTACTCACTTTTTAGTGAAATGGTCTTGAGAGTTCCTTCCTTTTTTGCAGGTGAAGCCATATAATATTTATTTGACAGTCGTATATCCACCCGACACTGACACTCCTGGCCTTGCAGAAGAGAATAAAACAAAGGTAATCTGGTTTGGGTATGCCAGTGTCTTTATTTTATTTCATGGTTCACAAACCTAAATGTAATTTAATAGCATTCACCTTTTTGATAGATCGTCGAAACGTTTACATTTATTGAATGTTTATAGTAAGGTAAGATGAATATCCCAATTACTTATAAAACTTTCACCTGATGTCTAGACTTTCTATCGCTAACTTCATTTATAAAAAGTCTCATTCTGTATCTAGAAGCATCTTGAAACAGCCATTGTGCCTTCAGGTCAGAAAGCTGCACTAATATGTTGTTCGAAGATAAAGAACTAGAAAATAGGATGTCTAGTGTCTTAACCAGCAGTTTCTGAAAGCAAATCGTATCCTGAAGCCAAGAGATCACCAGATGAATAAAGGCTGTGGCACCCGCTGTTCAGTGTTCAGGACACAGGACAGTTGCAGAACTATTCATGCATTCCCAGGATTGGGTGTGTTCATACCTTTGGCTTCCTGTACAGCAGTGACCTCACTGCTTGCAGAGTTACCAGTAAGAGCTGTAGTGGTCCTCCTGCTGATGCTTTACTGTTACTTTAAAACAAATGGAACCTTAGAACAACCGATTCTCAAAAGATAGTAAGTGGGGGACAACAGCAAGTTAATTAAAAAAAAAAGGAAATTACCACACTAATGTGGTATAATAAGTAAAGCCAAATAAACAGGTGTAAATTAATTTCCTAGTTGTTTTTGTAAGTTTGGAAAAATACATTATTTTTTATCTTTGAGGGAAACTGCAGAAGGTATGAAGTATAGTAAAACAAAGCAGAAATGCAGAAATGAAAAAAAGAAAAAGAGGAGGATTATTTCATATTCTTCTCAGCTGGAGTTTCCATATGATGGCTTAATGTTTGAATGTTTATCCAGACGGTCTATTGCATTTTTAATATACGGTCTTTTTGTTGCTTTTCATTTTAAAACAAACAGCAGGCTTTGAGCAGGGTGAAAATGTATCCTTCAATAAAAAGTCTTGGTCAGAGTATTCAGCTAGGTCAGTCTGTCAGCTATCTTCCATCATTTATGGACCTTTACCTTCTGTGATGTGTGTGTTTAATGTGTGAGGGAGAACAATGTTGCATAAAATGGCCAAAGTACACTAAATCTAGAGCATGTCCATGCCTCTGTTTTTCTTTTTTTAGCCTTTAGAAACCAAGATGATCTCTGAAACATCTGGCATTTGTCAGCCCGAGCAAGTTGCTAAAATTGTCGTTAAAGATGCTGTGGTAAGAAATGTGATAAAACACTTATTTAATTTTTTATTGTAGTATCATCTAGACATGTATGAAAAGAAGTATACTTTTTGAAATGTTAAAAGTTAGCTTGAATAAAGAGAATAAGATATTGTCATTGTATCATTATTATATTTTAACACGATTTTAATCTGCAGTGCAAAACTGGAATTCCTATACAGTCTCTTTCGTATTGGTTTGATTGTAATATGCAAAGGATGTTGTTTTAGATTTTGTAGCTTTAAGTATATACTCGGCTTCTGTTGTGTGTTTTTGTTTTCCCATTCTTTCACTTTAAACAACTGAAATGTGCTCAGATGGTAGCATTGAGTAGGTGGCCACAAACCCATTCTTTGTGACCATGGCTTCCTTTAGACTCCAACTATATAATTGCAATTAAATGTAGACATACAGACAGTTATCAACATGGTTGTAGATTTGATAAGCATGTGTGGGCATCTGTGTAGAGTGAGAATTGTTTCCTAAGTGTCAATTGCAGCTGCTTGATATTCATACCTTGGTAATAGAAAAGGAAAGTCTTGGCCTCTTCGTTTAGTCTTGAATTCCCACACATCGAAAGTATTAGTTAAGAGCTCCATGTCAGGCCATGGTTTACTAAGTGAATGCATTTATCTTCAGCTGTCCTCTTTTATTTCTGAGGCCTCCTGACATTAACTGTCTTTAGTTATTATTAGTGAATTTCTGTTAATTCGGTTTAATTTTAGATTTTTAGCAGGAGTAATAAGTATCAGGGACCTGAAAAACTAGGTCTAAAGACCAGTTGATTCTCCATCACCTTGACATTGGAGAAGAGCAATCAACCTTGTTAAGTGTTGGGAGTTGCAGAGTTTCTAGTTCTTGCCAACAGCAGTATCTGCTAGTGCCACTGAGTTTAGTTCAGTTGACCTTTGGCATTGACATTTCCTGTATAATACAAAGCTAAAATGTAAGTGAGTGGTTGATTCCAGATCCATTATTTATTTTTCGATGAATTCTATAATTCTATACTATTTCATTATTTTTCAGAAAAAACAGAACTGCTGAGATGTTGTTCTTTTGAGTGCTGTATTTTTCTTTAAGCTCTACCTCATAGAAATTTAAGCTTGTGCAGCACTGTAAAACCTTATAAATGAGTAAATCTGTATATAATCATTGTTTGTGTAGGTATCGGGAAATACAAGACATTGCAAAGATGTGTGATTGCATTTTGTTTAAATGCTGCAAGGCTTGATATTACTTTCAGCAAAAACTATTACTATTACTAAAACTATTAAAGAAGTGAGAGAAACATATATTTTAAGTGAATTGTAAAAGAAATCAAATTACTTCTAATGTTTTCGTTTTTATAGCAAGGGAACTTTAACAGCTCTGTGGGACCAGATGGTTACATGCTGTCCGCACTGACCTGTGGAATGTCACCTGTCACTTCCATTACAGAAGGCCTTCAACAGGTGTAGTATCTCATGTGATTGGAAATGTGCATAGTTTGTATTTGCATTACTTTGATCAATATCATTTACAAAAAGTAGACTCTGCAAAAGCCTCTTCTGCTTGCCACTGAGTACAGTTTTCTGAGTTGCAAGAAGTTAACCCAGTACATGTTCAACTAAAAGGGTCTGTTGCTGTTGGAAATAAGACAACAGTTGAATTGTCTTTGCATATATATTTTCATCTAGCTTTGCTGTCTTTGAAATCGGCAGTATCAAACTCAGTTCCAGAGGCTCTGGTGTGCTGTGTGTTTTTGGTTTCAACTGTGTTCTCAGTTAATAGTTCTTAAATTATGAAATTAACTGCATAATTGTAGTACAAATATCAATTAGAATAAATAGTTATTTGCTTATCAATCAATCAAATTGTACGTCTTGTATGCTAAACTTCAAAAAACCTTAAGAAAATATTATATGTGGATATATTAGAAAATAATTACCTTAATTGTGTGATAGACTACTCACGTTGAATTAAAAAACCATAAGACACAAGGCCCTTGAGGAACAGTTTGAGACTCCTAGCTTAAATAAAAACCCTTCACTGTCTTAGAAAAAAACACTTTCTTCTCTTGTGCAGATTGTTACTATGGGCCTATTCCGGACGATTGCCTTATTCTACCTGGGGAGCTTTGACAGTATCGTCCGTCGCTGCATGATGCAAAGAGAGCAGTCAAAGAGCGCAGACAAGAGTGAATAGCTTCACTTGCTGCGGCAAGCCCTTCTCAGCAAAGCCATTTCAGAGCCAGAAGAATTAGATGTGACTACTTTGACCTGCCCCAGAGATGCCCAAGACTGAGCAGAGAGATCTGTGAGGTGCATGGTGTTATGTACAAGTCAGACAAACTGGGAACATGGGGATTTATAGCACTTAATCTGGAAGTGGTATTATCGCACAAAGATGCAAATGTTATTTAGAAGAAAAATGTCATTATACACCAAGATAAACCTTTACCATAGGGCTGCAGTAAGGAGATTTTACTATTCTGTCTTTATTCCCCATGTGATGGATTGCAATCAGTTTATTCACGTGGAGAATAAAGCAGTTTGTTCTCTGAATTTTGCAAGGTAGTTATGGCAGTTGTTTTAATGTCACTCTTGTGTGCTTAATTTTTATGTTTATTCATAAATTAAATTTAGCACCTTGTCAACCTCTTTTTTTGCCTGACTCAACGCCATAAACTGGTCTAAAGTACAGTATTTTCACTACTTTTCCCTACAGCAGACATTTGGTAAATTATCATTTTTGTGAGTTAACATTTTTTATCTAGTATGTTTCAAATTTAAAGGGGGAAGCCATGCTGTATTGAATAAATAATCTATAAGGTTCTACCTGATGAAGGAGAAAAACAAGTCGAGATGTATAGAATTTGTTTTACTTTGGAAAGTGGCCGGAGAAGTTGTTTTCAATTGGAGGCAGAGTCTTGCTCTGTAGAAATTAAATCTCAGTTTTGGCATTAATTTATGGTTCGGCAGAATGCTTTCTTTCCTTTCCAAATGATTTTGTTTCACGGGACCCATCTTTCTACCACACACACATTATCACTAAACTTTTTCATCCCCTTAAATCGGTTTGGGGCTGATGCTAAACATTAGTTTTTATAACCAAGTTTGCTGCTTTGCCTCAAGCAGACAGGCTTAAAAGACAAGCACAATACTCATGTGATATTATGATGATTGAATGATATTACCTAGTACACTAAGCCTTGCCATAACCACATACACAGTTAAAATTGCCGAAAATTAGCTGAGCAAAGGCATTCCTTTATTTGATTGTGTTCTCAGTATCCTTTTTGTTGTTTCCTTTTATGGTTTCAATCTTAAGCTGTCCTGTTTAGCAAGCACCTCAACCCTTTTTACAGCTCAAGGATTCCTTTTGTGAATTTCTGGCTGTAGTAGCTTTAATCCTGTTTTCTTGTGTTCCTTAATTAATCAGTTACCTGTTCAAACCACTATACCCACATGACAGTTCTCATGTAGCTCTTTATTTAGTTCACTGGCTGTGACCCTTGGGGGCTTTTTGCTGTACTTACATATTGTTCTTCAAGCATGACTTTTCTTTACCATGGTAAGAAGCCACTGAGCTAATATGCTTGTTCCAGGTAACTGGGATATGGCTGTTTTCAGGGACCAATGCGACTGCCCTGAAATGTGTGTACATATGGTCACTGAGAATGTGAAAGTGATTTGCTTTAGTTTTAACTTTTATTTAACTGCATTACTTGCTACGCTTTGAAAGAGGCATCTCATCACAAGTAACGATTTAACTCGCTAAGTAAGTCATTCATTGCTTGTATGGATGGATTACGGTATCCATGGAAACAACTTAAAAAACATCTTGTATAGGATATAATTGGATACAATATCTTTAGAACTGGGTTTCATGCTTGAAATTCGCAGATGAAAGTACTGTTGATTCAGACCAAAGATCCCAGGGTTCTGTGATTTCTAGTGTTAAGCAGATACAGAAGCATGATTGGCTTCTTCACCGGTGACGTGTGAATGATAGTTTGCCAGGCTCCTGACCACATGACCACATGTTTTATAGGAAGTGTGGTGAGAAACACCCACTGTACCACAAAGACGAAAAAGCACGTGGCACACACTTTTTAGCAAAGACTCTTATTGGAGAATAAGTAAATTAGTAGTTGCACTGTATTTCCTGGAAAACAAACGTAAGATAAATGCTTTGTTGGATTTTTCATACCAATTTGACATTTGCCATTGCAATGCCAGGTGAAATCTGATAAAAGCATCCCCTTTAAGATGCATGAATTTAAAGTTATAACCATTCACTGCAGGAGAAAGCAGTGCTTTGCTTTTAATTATTCTCTGTCTCCTTTTATTATGCATTTTTTCCCAAAATAAAAAAGGACCCAGTAACAAGTTTAGGAAATAGTTGCAGTGAGAACACCAGTGGGCTGTAGTTGAGGTACACATACAAACAAACTCCCAACCATCACTGCATCATCTGATGTTTCTATTTCACACTAAACCTTCAAGTTAAAAACTGTATGTGGCAGTGAGTTAAAATGTACATATCTCTCATTTCAAACATTCTTCTGACTTCACATCCCTTAAACACAGAACTGTCTTCACCCACATCTTATAAAAATGAAAGTATTCTTGATACTAAATTCAGAAAATAGAAACTGTTGTGAATTTGCATTAGAGTGCTGCAGAGCAATGAAAGTTATGGAGCAGTGAACTTGAGCTTTACGGTTTCCTCACGCAGTGAAAAAGTTAATGGGTTTCTGTTGCAGTGATACTGAACAGCCTTGTTATTATAAGTAGCACTGAAAGAAAAAAACATGAAAGGCAGAGTCCTAGATATTCCTTGCAAAAGACATGAAAGGTATTGCATATAGAACCATGTGGCAGACTTGGTAGAAAGACTTTTGCTTTTATGTCCCAACCAGTGGCCTGTAATACAGGGGGAGGAGGCCTTCTGTTTGTGCATGTAGCACACTTACTGGCAATGGTCAGTTATCTTTTTTCCCTGTATAATGGTGTGTGTATTTTGCGTTTGCTTTAAAGTGGTAATCAAAGCTGCGCTTTATGGCATTTGTATTTCTGTAATATTGGTGAACTAAGTAAAAGTAGATATTAGGCTTACTGGGTATGCTTTAGTGTTGAAGGTAACAAAGAAAAAAAACAGTATTTTTAGTGTGCATTTGTAAGTGCAGTGATTTCCTTAACTCCGTTTGTGCCCACGATCAAACCAGCGGGAATTGTGAATTATTGTTACTGTGTGCAAAGTGTCATCCAATAATGCCACCAGGGGAAACTGCACTTTTTGAAGGAGGTCTGCGTTGCCTTCTGTGATTCAGAACAGCATCCCAGGAAATACTGAATTTGTGTCTCTATTAGTGTGAAAAGTTGCAATTATGGGAAAGCACCTGTGTATTGAGCATTTGTCTTTCAGGTTTTGTACCTTGAATGCCCTTGCAGAAGCAAAGAGTTCAAAAACCTGGCTTGACAGTCTAGCATTTTCCCATTGCTGACATTATATCTATTGTATATGTACTTTAATGGAGCAGACTAATGAAGCCATGTTTCCTGTAAAACTACCAGGTTGCCTAGTAGATCTGAAAATACAAAAAGGTTGTTTACCATGGAGACACAAATACTGTTCATTTTTTTTGTAATTAGTAAAACTACAAATGTTCCACAAAGTTGAAGCACTGCATTGTATGTAGTGAGAGCCAAGTGTGACTCGCAGGTTCGAGTTCTGATTGCACTAATCATGTAGGGGTACTCAGGAACTACTGTAGTATCCTAGGTCTTCCTATGGCTTAGTGAGGAGGGATCCTTCGGGATATCATCACAATTCTGCCGTGATCACTTCGTGCTGGGTTTCCTGCCTGATTGAGCTCGGTTCTGCACAGCCGACTGTCTGCAAGGCCAAGGAAGGAACTCGCGCCTGTGCAGGATCAAGAGATGTACACCCATAATTAAACCTTGCTTTTCAGTAAGATCCTACAAGAGCAACCATGAATCTGTATAAGCATAGAAGGTTTTTTATAAATTGATTTTCTCAATGCCAAAATGGAAGGAAAAAAAAAACAGTCAACACATACAGTTTGGATTTTGCTGCTTTGTTCATTTAGAATTAGTTTGTAATTAAGCCAAGGACTCGTTGACCTGTTCCAAGCCTTAAGGACTAACTGCAAATTATATTATAACAGAATGAGTTGATCCACAAAAGAGTGTTATGTTGTCTAATCTGCTTTGTTAAGCCCTTTTACTCCTTTTTGTACCAATTGCCTTAAACCAACCAGAGAATGAAAAGGAGAACAGACAAAGTTTGTAATGACGTTCTCATTTGACTTTGGTTTGAGGCATGGTCCAGCTCAAGATTGTGGGTGTGTGAAGGTAATTGTCATATTTGTAGTTATTGTATTTTTCAAATGTTTCTCATGCTTATGTCCTATGATTAAATAATGGCAGTTTGTTTTACAGTGCTTTCTTAATATGTAGCATATTAAAATCAGTTTTTGTTAAACTGTTTTCAGCTATGCAAATCAAGCCAATATACTCATGTAAGGTGTTTGATACTTGCCCTTACCCTGCTAAGCACTGTTGTCAGCTTTACAGAAGTCTGTTAAAGTTTCATATTACTTTTAAATTTTAGCCAGAGTAATAAACAATTGTAAGAAAGGCAAAAGGAACATGACCAGAATACACTTACTTAGTGCTATTCTTCTACTGTTTCCACAAACTTGTGTAAGAATTTCACTATATGTGCTGTTTAAGGAGAAAAGAAAAGGTATTGTCTGTCTTATTTTCTTACATTAAAAACAAATTTTGGGGAAAATCACAACTTTGTTTTTGGTTTTATTCTCATTGGTTTATTTAAGAATCCCAAGACAATGTAAAAGCCTCTGTATGGACAGGATATTTTGCTGCCTTGAAATTACTTTCTGCTTTTCACTTTTCATGCAGTGACAGCTTTTAATAAATTAAAGTAACAGTTTTCTGGCTGGGTATGTTACTGGCCAGCTGCTACCAGGATTCCCCTAGTAGTGACACATGCAGTGATAATAGGAGTGCCTCTGATGTAGTGTCAGAGCATTAGACTGCTGGTGTCATCTGTGCTTTCTATCTAACTTCACCACTTGCAAATCTGTAGCCAGAGAAAGTGAAAGATGTGTTTCTCCTGCAAAAGGCACTGATTATCCTGTAAGACACTATAGAGCTTCTAGTGTATTAGAAGATTTTCTAACACTTTGGTATGCCAGGGGTTTAAGACTGCAGAACCTACAGTAATTCTCCTTGTACATGAGTTGTAGCTGTAACACAATTTACTTACCAGTAAGAAACTCACAAGAATCATGTATGCCAAGACTTTAAAATAAAATATGCTTAGGTGTATTTGTTGTTCTACCAACATTTAAGTTAATGTTCACTTTCTCTTAAGGGGGCGGTATTGTCCTGATTCTGGCAGCCAGGTGCTACAATTAAACTGAGCTGGATACTACATCTAGTATCACAGGGTGAAATACTGGCTCCCTGGAGTCGATGCTGATGTAGAATTTGGAATGGATAGAGTTGTGTAGGGGATCCTCCTGTGTGCTTTTGAATAAGTGAGCAGAGCCAGTTTACTTGTCTACAGCGCCTTTCAAAATCATTCACTACCTTCTACTTCCCGTTTTGTTTAATTACAAGTTATGTATACATGTTTTTGTGAAGTTCATATTTTTTATTACATTGCAGCAGAAGCGTATTCATAACACTCTGTCATTCATGTACTGTTGCTGGAGCTTTGTGTATGGATGCTAAAAAGCAGTTCTACATGCAGAATGGAAAGTTATTCATCTGCTGTTCACTTAAAACAGTGAACAAATGGTGTAAAACGAAATCTGATTTACAAACACTTGGAAAACATTGTTCCTGTTTTTTGTTTTGTTAAAATTAACATCAATTACACATAAAATACTAATAATTATTCAAATATATTACCACTTTATAGACCATGGCTTCGTGTTCTGCTGGGGTTGGTCTACATTCTGGAGTACAATTCTGAATCATTTAATTATTAAATTGTAAAAGGCGTCATTTACGTTCAGGCGTAAAAAGTGATATTTAATATCGGACCAATGTGTTTTCAATAGTGACTGCCGTTCTATTGAAATCAAGTTCTAGTTCCAATTATGGAATTAAAGAAAATATTTGATATTTAAGATCGGCTCACCCATTGATTTTATCGAAATACTGCATTTGGTTTTTAGGTGGTAGTGTCGCACATACAGTACCCTGAAAATGGTATTTCCTGAGGTCCTCCTGGCCTGGTGCAGTAGTTAGAATTACTGCCCCGCAACACTGGAGCCCTAGGTTCAATTATAGACCTATCTGGGTGGAGTCTGCATGTTCTCCCCCATGTTCACCTGAGTTTCTTTTGGGTGCTCCTGTTTACAGTCCAAAGACATGCTGGTGCATTCATTGGCTTCTGTCAAAAAAAACAAATTGGCCTTGGTGCAAGTGTGTGTATTTGTGTCTGTGTGTTCCAGGCATAAACTCCGGGCCTCTGTGACTCAGAATTGGATAAGCAGTTATTGAAAGACATGTGCTCTTGACCCCATTTGCAGCCTGTACTATTTGTGCAACCAGAATAGTTTTGGTTGAAACATTCTGAAGAAAGTCTCCAGCTTTCCTGGCTTTTATTACTATAGGCACATTAGAAATTAATTGCCTTTTGAGGAAGAAAGATTTCAAACCCCCCATAGTCTCATTTGTTATTATAATCTAAACACACAAACTAGTAGGAAAAAGACTTCCTTCTCCCTTGTCTTTCAATGACTTTACTGTCTGTACAGTTTCATGAAGGGAAAAGTGTAAGTGACCCAGCCACAGAGGATAAAGATATCTCTTCTCTTAATCTTGTTTTCCACTCACATCTACCCTTTCAGGGATTTTGTCAGATGCACGGTAAAATAATCTGGTAGTCTAATCTTCTTGTTAATTTCCTATTGAATTTCAAAGCCTGTTTCCTTGATTTCGAAGAATTTGTGCCTGGATCGACTGTTGCTTCTAATATATGCAGGATAACATAACTCCATGTTTCGGTTTTGTACTCCACTGAAATTTAAGACGTTTAAATTATCAATGCTAAAAAATCCTGACCATGACTCCTTACAGATTGCGTAGTATCAATGGACACAGACATAACGTCAGTTATCTTTTTTATATCGTTCCTGTGTTTACAAGGGATCTCAAAGAGCTGTACGATACAAGAGCCAACGACATGGATCACGTCTGCAGAAAAAAGAGGTTGTTTTTGAGAAAATGGCCATTTAAAGCCACCATGTGCTCCAACACCCACAAAGTCAATTACAAAAAGCTTATTTAACAGGTGTGTAACAACAGCTTGTTTGAGGCCACTGGCACTCAACACTTGTACTGTTTGTAAAGATTGGAGTCAATAAGGAATTGATTGTCTTTGTTACAAATGCAGCGAGGAGATGTGGCCGTCTCTTTACATACTGTACCACAAAAGTTAGGTCCTGTTTCTACGGTCCAGCCAACCGTAATCTCTGTCTTTTTATACTCAGTCTTTTGTTTCTGTTCCATTCTTTTCTTCACCTTCCATTAGGATTAGATATCATCTGCACTTGAAAGATGGGTGATGTTTTTTTTCCCCCCCCAACAACAACAATGTTTCATCATGGCTCTTTCCACCCCAGATTTCCAAAAACACATTTCGATCAGCCAGATACAGAGCTTTCCTGAGAAGGCATCTGCTTGGCTACTCGGTCCTTTCCAAGCAGACGTGACAGCTTTAGCACAAATCTCCTTCAGCATACAGGGTTAAGATGATTCCACACACTCTGTACAGTATGTGTGTTCCCTCAGCACAACAGCTGTTGTAATGCTGTTGCATTGACCTTAAATGACTCTAAACTTCCAAAGCACCCAAAACTGGATTGTAAAGAAAATGTAATTATGAATATTTCTTTTTTTATTATGATTATTTAGGAGTTCTGTTTCCATGGGAGGTAGGGGAATAGGGTAATCTAATCTCATGTCCTCATTTGTTGCACTGCAAAAAATGTCTTAAAGGAATGTGTTTGGATCAGGAGACATTCATCACTTACCATCATAAAGAAAACGTTATTTTGTAATGGGCTCTTGGATATCTAGTTTGTGAGATGCAAGTAATCAAGACAGTGCCTCTCATCTGCAAAAGGAATGCACCTCTACCACATGTGTAATCTGATTGCCTTGATAAAGGGAGTTAAAGATCTGATGATACTGTATGCCTTCATACCTCTGAGTTTTCTGATGAAAGAACCATACACATACAAGGTTAAGTGAGGACTACCACGTGCTTAAATCGATTATTGCACATGGAATTAAGGGCCATCTTATGTGATCAATAATGTATTTAGAGGTGAGAAGAGAAGCAAGGGAGGAAGGAACAATATCAAGAGGAGTGAGAGAGTTTCAGGACTACAATCGTCACTGACTGGATTCCTCATTGGCAAACCAAAGGGAGTTGGATCAAATTTAGGAGCATGAGCTGTATTTTCCATATCTGTGGAAAAGTTTAATTTCCCTTTTAAATTTGCCGGGCAAAATTTGTCTAACCTATTTGGATGCACGATTACCATATACAGTATAAGGATCAACTGATAGTTGACTCCCTTTATCATTAGTGGAGAGTTCGGGTCTATCTGTGGGGGATAATTAACTTCACGAAAACAGTCTTACAGTACTTCCCCAGATAACATTCGTTTACCTCGTAGTGTGTTAGTGTTGGTCAAGATTAGAAATTAAGTGTGTGACCTTTAAGCTCTCAAGCTATATGTACAGTAGTAGTTTGTAAATATTAATTTGAATGTTTTGTAGGTTGGATTGCCTATTTTGCTTGATCGATATTTGCCTTTTAATGTAAGCACAAAAGAAAGGTTACAAAATGAGAAGAGGTGACGTGGCCCATCCAGCCCATTCGACTACTGGTATCTGTTTGATCTGAAGGTCGTATCCAGACATTCCTTGTAAGAGTTCAAGTAGGGAGCTGTGTCAGCATGCGTAGGCTGCAAAGGAACAAGTAAAGGTTTATTCCATGCTGAAAAGAGAAGAAAAGAAACATGTTTCTGCTTTTTCCCCGACATTGTGTTTCCTTTTCTCTTTTCAGCATGGCTTAAACCTTTTACTTGTTCCTTGTAAGAAACCAGTGCATCTGTTTTTAAGTCATTTCCTTTAAATGTCTCAACCATCAAATTGTTAACACAAAACTACAAAAGCAGTGTGGCCCTGCTTGGTATTTCTTGACCCGTGGGTCTATTTGAATTATTCACACGTTTTGGTTTTGTTTTTACATCTAGTATGATGGTCTCCAGAAAGATTGATATTTAACTGATTTAACCTCTTCCATGATTGATACTGACTTTTACATAACAAGATTATGAAATAACTGAAGATAGATAATAAGGACAACAAAAAATGATTTATACTCCATTGAGTTCCAAAGTGGACATGATGAACACAAATGTGCTTCTGTTATCTGTGTTTCTATTACAACATAATTCCCACATCCTTGCTTAAATTGCTGAAATCACTTGAGTCTATTCTCCTAACTTGATTTTTAATACTAAAAACTACAATATTCAAGTTTTCCAGTTTTTAGAAAAATATAAAAATCATTTAAAGGGGTGTCTGTTGTGTCGTACCTTGAACAATTCGTTTGAACAATTCTAATGTGCTTTAAATTAAAAACAAAATAATGTGGCTTCTCACGAATTGTGAAAGGCAGTGTATACTGTTTTCACAGATCAATTGACACGTGTCATTTTGAAAACGATAGAGAGAAAGTGCTGACTAGACAAGTTCATTGTCTGCTCTGGCATAATTAATTAAATGCAGACGCCGTTAATCTAGTAAAAGCACCTTGTGTTATTAGTCTTACAATCCTTCCCAGATTAAGGTCCCTAATCAGTGTTTTGAATGTGTACAGATCCTTACAGCAGTGTTTAAAATAAGAGGATCCCCAAGGTCTGTGATACCACTGATTGACAGCCGCCGTCTGGAATAACCTCCTCAGCTTCTCTCTTCCAGCCAGTGGAAAGTGACTCATTCTGTAGTCTGATTTTGTCAGGTCTCAGAAGGTAGGCAAAAAATTGGGAGAGATCTCGGTGGATCCGTAGTTAACACTTCAACTGGTGTGGGGTGACTACTTGGTCATTAAAGATCCCCACTCTGGGTGTGTAAAGCCTGGAGTGACTTCCCTCAATTCCCCTCTTAATTCAATAGATATTTGAGTAAATTCTCACTTCTCTGGGAGTGGGATTGGGGCTGTTGTACATCCCCTTGACAGGGGATTGATTTTAGTCATGGATGAAGTGGGTCCCCTCCTGGATGTGAAGGACTTTTGAATCTTTCATGATGAAAAGTCCTATATAAATGCAAGCAATTCTTATGAGAATAACAGGGAACAAGTCACAGTGTCTGCAAAGTGCTTTTTGTTTTGGTCAGCCACCACATCTAATGCCTGCTGCTGGCCATTGAGACTGGTTTTTGTTATTTAATGATAAAATTGTACAGTATATTGTGGAAAACAAACCTTCTAAATCCATGTTAAGTCAGAGTCTTTGCAGGATGGGTTGTTGTCCTTAACGTGTGCCTGTGCTGAGATAAGAGAAAGAAAATCAGCAGCCATTCCTTCCAAAAAGGTCTCTGTTGGTTTTAGTTGGATATGTTTAATAGTTTCGCTGTTTATGCAGTGCCTTACAAAAATATTCAACCCCCTCCCATGGATACCCCATTATGCTGAATAACAAATGATGCATTCACATTTTTAACAAACGTTTAAGTTCAAGCTTGAATGCTCAAACGGAACACTTTGATGGATGAAAACAATTACGTCATTATGTCAGCAAAAACTGCAGAGAACCATTTAAAAAACAGAAACCTGTCACTTGTCAGTGCCTGCCCCCTTTGCTATGGGAAACATATTAGATCACGAACAGGACGCTACAAAGCTACTTTGACAAGTCACACAACTGAACCTCATCATGGATTCAAGTTCTGAAAAAAAAAAAGCACATGCAGATTTCATCTGGTTCCTGGTTGGACATGTGCTTGGAGACTTCTCACACCAGGCGTGCGATTTCAGTTAACAAGAACGTCATTGTTCCCAGCCCGGCACTTCTGTTTCAGTTCAAGGAGAAACGTGACTGTTGGTGACCTATTAGAATTGCTCTGCTCTGTTCATTGTGTGAGAAAAGCAGGGGCCCAGTTCCCATAGATCCCGCTCCTAAAGCCTGCTCAGAGACTTGACGACTCGTGTCAAGATTAGATCAGGTATTCTGTATTTTACCGTCGTGGCTCTGTTGTTGTGTTTTACACGGAGCTGCCATCGCCGTTAAGACTGTTTTTATGAGGTATTTCTTACATGTCTAAGACTGCCCACTGCTGAATAAAACGGATATACAACAACTTAAAATTCGGGAATTCTGTGATAAAATTAGTTAGAACAATTTACGGTATTTTATTTTGTCCGGAAAAAAAAGTCTTCCCGAAACTGGCGTCCTCTAAAAGCAGGGAACACATTTTAACATCCAGTAGGTCTTTTCCCAGCTGGCTCTTCCTGGTGATGGAAGGAATTTAGATACAGATGGTTAAAAAAAAAGACAAATAGAATTCAGGACAGATGGACATAATGACGTAGAAAGGAAACCCCACTGAAAATAACAGAATTGAAAGCAAAGGAGAAAAATCTTCTAAATCCAAATGTAAATCTTGAAATCGTTAATCCAGCTTCTTGTTTGCAGTGCCTTCTACCAAAGAAAAGTAAATGAGACTGATACCCTTGGAAACTGGAACTGCTTATGCATGAAGAATGATGACAGCCTGTTACTACAGCCTCCTAAAAAATTAAATCTAAAAATCCATTTTCCAGATGGCATTGGCGTCTACCAAATGTGTGCCTCAAAAATCTGGACGAGAAAATGATTTTCAAATGAGGACAAGATTAAAATTCCTTGAAGACATTAATCCACAATAGAAAAGGATTCTCACAATGTAAACGCAATCCATTACAAAAGTATTTACTCTTTTCCACTTTGTGAATTTATGAATCGTGTACACAGATTTATAAAGTGAATAGTTTTAAATCCATTCAGCTAAAGCCATACAACTAATGGTGTGACTTGTCACTGTAATTGTGTGCGCCCAAATTAAAGATGTGTCATTATAAAGGGTGTGAATCAACTTTTTATTTGATTTTTCTTTGCAGACACTTCACTTCTTTCACGCACAATGAAGTTTCGAGCATTTACCTTTCGATTAAAAATAAACACGTTAAAAAAGGTGTAGAGAGAATTTCTAATTCAACAACATGGAACATCACTGGAAGGGGTGAATGTTTTTACAAGGCATTGTAACTGCAGACCGATTCCAGACTGATTTCGGGAATTCAGCTTCGATAGGATGTCAGACGTCTTTATTTTTCTCATTAATTTCATATGTCATGTAGAATTCCCGCCTCCACTCTTCAGTGCATCATTTATCTCAAATATTTTACGTAAAGTATATATATGTACAGTATATGCACGGTTCGGTATTTTAATGGTGTTGGTTAACAATTGCCCCCACTTTACGATCCTGAATAATTGCTTAAAAATATACTGTAGGATGATTAATATTGTAGCGAATTCGAGTTCTCTAACTGCTAAAGTGCACTCTCGAGAAACACAAGCTTTGGCATAGATTTATATTATATATGACATTTACCTATTTAAAATGTATTTCATTTGCACTTACTGTAAAATCATTCAAATCCGTCTTCGGTAAAGAACTCGCTCGCTTGATATAATTTTGGCGACATCGATGATCGTTTTTGTGGTACAAACCTAATTGTGGTGCAAACAATATGTTCCGAAACACAAATGGCAGCGCCGGGGAATTAACGATATTGGACTTGGAACCGATGTTAAATAATAAAAATCGAGCGGAAATCTCACAACAGGTGAAGCAGCCGGTCGTACAGTAGCCCCGCCATCAAGTGCTGCCAGAGTAACTAAAAAAATGAATGGCGTGACGTAGAGGAAATACCTCACTCGAAAGGAGTAACGTTATATATAATGAGAGGCAGAGGGAGTGACGGCGAGTGCAGTTGTATCAAAGATTTGTTGCTCACATACTATGTAACTGCAGCTTTAACGTAGTTTTTGCCGTGACGGTGCAAGGAGCAAGGCTTAGTGTTATTTTCTTTCTAAACTTGAGATCTTTTTAATACATTCCTCGGCGTCTTTTTTTGTGTGTGTGTGTGCGGAGACTCTCCTAGTCGATTTACTTAATCTGGGATAAAAGGCATTTCGAAAGCTACTGCTGTCTCTTCCGTCTTTCAAAGGCGCTGTTCAAATGTCACTGGGATAATTCAGCGCCGCAGGACAGCAGTGCGGTTTCGTCCAAGTTTTGGATGTGTTCAAGTGATTATCTCGAATTAGGAATCTAAGTGGATACTTCCCAAATTGCTGGATTTGTGGAAAATATATTCTAAAGGATACGCGAAAACTTGGTACTTTTTTTTTCCCACGGATCTTTCTCATTGCTGAAAAGGGGCGTAATAATTAGAATAGATCAAACATTCCTGGCGGATTGCTTGCGGCTCTGGAGCTGTCTAAACGCCTGTAACCGATGAAGTAAGTTACCCAAAGTTTATAAAGCGATAGCGCGGGATGTATAGGCAAAGTAGAAAATAGATGATAAAATTCGGTTGTAGGAAAATGCATATTTAAATCCAGATAGACGATATTAGCTCCGACTGTTTTCTCCGGCATTAGAAAATTGCTCTCCTGGTTACGAAGAGTAGTGCATTCACCGCATAGCACGATTTCTTGATGTTTGACATGCATTTCTTTTAGAACATTTTGGTTTGTAATGAAGACTGTCAAGTCTGCGGGAAAAAAAAGGTGAAGTGTTAAGTATATGTTGTAGCTGCAGTTTACGTGTTGCAATGCACTTAAACGCAGGTTTTTGCAAATAGTAGAACATTGCGGGTCACACAATAAACATGCTTTCTGAAAAATATAGAATGTCGTATTAATTAAAAGTACGTTTTTCAAAGTTTGATAATGCCTATATTGGGGCTTCTGAAGCCGGTGTGGAAATGATCGGTAAAGGGCAAACTTCATTCTTTCTACAATGCACACGTCTAAAATGCACCGATATTAAAGTGCGTGTTTAACTCGGGTAATATTTTTTATTTAATTAGGGTGTTTGCATTGGAAGATGTCTCTAATGTGTCTGGGTTCCGAACAGCCGCGGTGTTTTTACAGCATGGCGTGTTATTGATCCTAGCCGCCTTTTTGATATTGGTATTTTTAAAGACTGGTGGGAACACCAGAAATAATGTATGCATTGAGTCTGGTAGTAATAATCATCTGTATTGTTGAATTACAGAATATATAGCAAGCCGTTTACGAGTTTCTGTTGGAAAATGCACGTGGCATAGGACTGCTTGGACTTGCTGGGTTTGGTCGCGGCATTTTGAGTCCCTAAATAATGGCAAATAACGAAGCCCCGTACGATACTCGGAATATCGTGACAAAATACATCCATCACAAACTCCTGAAGAAGGGCTACGTGTGGGAATCCCGCGTGTCCGGCGAGACCGATCCCCCCAATAACGGATTGGTGGGCCCCTCCGCCTCGGGTCCGGGGCTGCAGGCGCGGCGGCTCCAGGCTGCCGGGGCCGAGCGCGGAGCTGTCCCGGTCCCCCGCCGGACCCCCCCGCCCGACCCCCACGCCGCTCTCCACAAGGTGCTGCGGGAGGCTGGGGACGAGATCGAGAGGATGTACCACCGGGACTTCGCGGAGATGTCGGATCAGTTGCACTTCACCCCCAACACCGCCCGGAGGAAGTTCACCGCGGTGGTGGAGGAGCTGTTTCGGGACGGAGTCAACTGGGGGCGGATTGTCGCTTTCTTCGAGTTCGGCGGGACGATGTGCGTGGAGAGCGTGAACCGGGAGATGACGTCCCAGGTGGACAACATTGCCAACTGGATGACGGAGTATCTCAACGGGCCCCTTCAGAACTGGATCCAGGAGAACGGAGGCTGGGTGAGTTTGGTCACAACGTGCAAAAAAAAAAAACAATAAAAAAATAAATAAATGCAAAGTGTAATTGAGGTTTTGGAAGATTCCCTGTTTTCCTCAAATTTCTCCCTTCCTTAATGATCTCCGCAGAATCGATTTTTCCCCATAATCTCTTGTGATAGTGTTGCCTAATTTGTCGCACCATTCAATGCACGGTTTGAGTATTCAGGTTATACCCCAAATCCACGCACATACCTGCTGAAATGACAAGGGACACGCCTAAAACCTGTACATTTCCTTGTCTTTGTTAAATGGATTGAAGAACATGCATAAAAGCCTTGATTGTCCCTCACAATGGAAAGACATTTCCTGTCATCTGTGTGGCGAAGCCTGCTCTGTAAGAGGTCACCTGTCCGAAGGGAGCTCTGACCAATTAGGTGCGCGTTCCCTGTCACACCCCCTTCACGCCTACTAGACATGACGAAGGGTTGCCGTGTCGTGAGCTGTCAATTTCAGCCTGTGATGAAACTGGGAACATACAGTACTTCACTTCCAGGACATCTGGGCTAATGTCACACGAGTGGTTCGGAAGACACGTTAAAAAGAAGGTTTATAATTCTGAAAAGAGGGCTCGCCCAGTCCACAAGGGTTTAATTTGACGCCTTAACTTGCTCGGGAGGAAGGGGCGTACTAAGGTGTTTTACAGAAAGCCTTAGAAAATGTTGTATAAAACATTGAAACTTTCATAACACCTGACTTAAACAGTTACTATAACCTATTTCTGCTTATTTGGTAACGCTCTTGCTAAAACACTTTAACGTACAGAAAAATATTATGACGAAAAAAAGGCAGCCTCGCTTCACTGTAGTAACACGTATCTGCTTGTGCTATGAGGGAGTTTTTTTTTTAAGACGGGGGATACCAGCAACGTTTTCTTTGGTTTTCAGGATTCTGTGGTGACTAGTGGCAATTTCCCAAAACATTTTGTCACTGCAGATATTTACTAGTCTCTAAACTATAACTGGATTATAGCTCCCATATGAAGTCTTGCTGGTTTCTAAACCTTAAATCACTGTGTTGATCACAATATTATTTAAATAAACCACGTCTGCATTTAAATAAATGTGACATCACCTTCAAGAATGCAGCCACAGAGGAGATCTACAGCTTGCAGTTGTCATACATTCTCTCTGTTTGTTTTTGGGGTTGAACAGTCGATGCATCAGTCATTATTCCCATGATATCTGATGCTGTGAAGACATTAATCACATCTTCTGCAGGAGTGTGTTCTATTGCTCTTTTCATGTTGAAGAAACTCTTGTCATGGGTATACTTTGTGTGGTTATACAATGAAAGTCAGAAGAATACAAAGACCAATGAAAATAAATGAACGAAGCAGTAGTATGGACTGCTAAGGAACTACCCAAATCTTGTTTGGAGATCTAGGTGACTATGATTTATTTAAGCATTTCTAGTGTGAAATAGTTATTCATCAGACGTGCCTGGGAATTAATTAAATTTGAGTGAATATAATGTTATTATTAACAAAAAGTGAATACGTGCATTTTCGTTGCAGGGAAATACTGCTGATGTTCGAGACTGGTCTAAGACTATGATTGCCTTGGAATGGGTATAAAATCCATAAAACAGATTATAGAAAATTTAACATCTAAGCAGAATAAGAAAAAAATGAATGGATGCTAACATATCTCAAACTGTTATAATGGTTTGCTAATATATGCAATTGGACATATACTTTTAACATACATTTCCACTTTTATTTCCTGATTTTGTTGAGCCCGTTGGAGTGACATGATTTTTGGTTTGTGTTTTGTCAGGTTAGATTTTAAGTGATCTCGGCAAAGGCTTTGGTAAAGGTGTGGCGTTTTCGGTAGCGATGCGGTAATGTTAACATCAAGGATAAGAACGTTTGAAGAGAAGCAACTTTTGTTTTCTCGAACAAGCTTGGAGACACCTCATCCTGCGAGTCTTATAGGTCTTCCAGATCTCTTTCAGAATTTGGCCATAGTTCTAAGGACTGGAGACACTTGTAAGTTATTTATCAATGAAGAAAGTAGTTTGTTCCATTAAGAGAGCTGTGGTCCTTAAGAACTTAAGATAAAAATATTTAAAGGAGGTCTAAATTAACATGGGAAAATAGGCCTCATACTGGTTAACATTACCAGTCTTCTTTATATATTGCCTTTTTTCAGGCTTCTTTGACCATTACTTAATACAAGGCAGCTTTCTGTTATTGCTACACAGAATATTATTAATGTTACTTCTTGACAACGAATTGTCTAGTCTGTCCCAAATACCATTCGTTATAAATGAGCTGCGCATTCTTCAGATTTGTCTTCCTTCATAGTGGAGCAACATTAAAGGCGTTCATTTTAGGTTGCTCCTGTAGGTTTCTGTGAAATCTTGACCAAGTACAGTTGTCCTGGTGTTTTGGTGACTGCTGCCATCATGGTCATGGAGGCAAGTGTTCAGAGCTCCAGATGGCGGGAGTGAAAATGCTTAGTCCTTGCAGGCAGAAAAAACAGCTTTGCCAGCTGCCTGCTTCAGTTCCCAAAAGCCAGCACACAAGCCACTGCAACAGGGCAGCCAGAGGCATCCTTTGTGGACTGATAGGGTGTTCTTTGTCTACAGAGCCACCACAGGAATGAAAGGTTCTTTCCCTTTCAATTTCCCCTTACTGTCAACTGCTGCTCTCAGTTCTGTTGCCACTATAACAACTGTAGTGAAATAGTGACCTTTGCTACAGTCGACTCCTTCCTACTGTACCATAACCTGAGAAGGGAGCAGAGGGACTTACAAAACAAAGTATTGTTTCCTCATTATCTTTGAATGCAGCATGGGATCGAGAGGGAAAAAAAACACACACACACACATTCTACTGGGTTGTAGTTCTTCTTCTTTATTACAAAATACAGCTGCTCTGTTGCAAAATACTTGTAATACTTAAGCAAGTTTTGCTTTTACAGACGTGTGGGATTGAAGGCTTAATGAGTGGTGTAATTTTCCTACCAAACACGGTAGTTGCGTTTGCGAGTCATTGCGTGCATTTTGTGGAATGTCAAGTGGCAATAAATGAACAACAACAAAAAAAATGACTTGTGCTGTGGGCAAACCTTTTCACTTCTGGAGTACGCATTGAAAACACGTCTTACCACAATGCAGATGAAGGCTTTCTCTTCCCACAGCTATTATGTCAAAGGGCTGCTGCATGAAACAATTCCCGTCTCAAGAAAATGGTTAATTCTCATTTTTTTATCCCCCTCCACAACGTCAAAACTTAAAATGTCCACAATTCCATGATTGCTTCATGCTCTGGTGCATTTGCGATCCAGGTAAAGAAGAGGAAAATATCAAAGCCAACAGTTTTGGAATAGGTACAGCACAAGTTGGGCACCAACAACAGTGTTTTAAGTAGTTTGTTGTCTTATAAATGAAGTACATTATCCGTTTTGTACTGCTTTACCTTTATGATGTGTGGTATATCTGTGGTCACTAGAGAATTCCCCATCTAGCTGGTGCTGAAATGTGGCTAGAAAGTGGAATGAGAGCATGTAGCACATGGATAGTTTAACGAGGCTTTAATTTCTGTTTGCATTATTTAGCAGTTTAGTAGTGTGTCTTGGGGCTTTCAAAGTTTTTCTCCATCTCTTATATAAGAATATTTAACATTTGCATTTAGGCTGTCTTGGGCGATAAGCTGTAATGCAGAACATCAAAGGATCAAGCAGTGACAGGACCCTAGCAGAAGAACATTACCTTGGTTTGTTTTGAACTTCTCATTTATAATTGATTGGTAATGACAAACTGTGCTTCAGTTTGCCCTTAGCTTAGAATGCCTCCTTTTTCCATTTAGCAGCATTTAAGTAACCTGAGTGCATGCATGGACCAAAAAAAAAAAAAAAAGAAATCCATTTGAGCTTGTTGCCCTCCATTAAACATCTTATGGGACAGCTTTTCCTTTTCTTCTTAAGTCTGTAGCTTCTACAGTAACAATGTGAAGTATCTTGACGTGCTTTCCTAAAATGGAGGTTTGAATTTGACCATGTTCAGAAGTCTCTGTTCCGCCGCTCTGAAGGATACAGAATGTTCTTGACTGTTTAGAACATTTTGCCCTGAAATGTCCCCATGTATTTTCTTCATACATTTCGCATTTTGCCTCTGGCCTGGGAAAAAAGCCATGACCAATATTTTGATCTGCGTTACGCTTGCAAACATGCTCTGTAAAAACATGGTAAATTGTAAAAACTAAAAGGCAGAATTAACCTTGTGTAGCCCAGTTTTGGGTGAGCTGCTGAGCTGATAAATGAGCTGCTGAAATTCATTTGTGGATCTAATAGTTTTCTTATGAAGGTAAATAAGGGGGATTCCATTTAAGCTGGAGAGTCTACTTGGTTTCATTTTGGAGAAACCAAGGGAGCTTTAAGGACAAGGTTCCCATCGCAATTTAATGCGACACCAACATAAGTTAGGGGGATGATTAATACACAGACACTAAAGCTGGTTTTCCCCTGTTTATTTTAAAGCTTTGCAGGGGAAATCCCAATTTGTTATCCTCATGTTTGGTACCTTCTGCCATCTCTGAAACGTTGCCTGGAGGTATTGTATGTGAATGTTCGAACTGACAAATTCAACTCTTTTGGGTTTTTTTTTTAAATTGAAATTCCAGAGGCTGCAAACTCAGCGTGTTCACCATTATACAAATGAATCACTCGCCGAGTCTTTGCGCATTTTTCTGACGAGTTCCACAGATCGCAAGCTAATTACGAATATTTGCTTTTTTAAGCTCTTCAAACTGCTGCCACATACATGGCTCGTAAGACATACTGCTTTAATCTTGATGCACAAAAACTGGAAATGCCCGATTCGTTAGTAAAATTGTCAGGACTGGAAGTTTTTTGTGAGCCAGAAAAAAAAAATCCCTTGATGAAAATATGACAAAGCCTGTGAACTTAATGAATAAGTTGATCAGGAATAACTGATTAACTTATTACGGTAAGTCATAA